TACGGCATGAGGCTTTATCGGGCCTTTCAGTGTGTCTAATAATTTCTTTAACCATCGAGACATCCTTAGGTTTCTCAGGAACCCGAGCTCGATGGAAACTAATCAGTTTTTTGCCCCGTTAGGGTTCACTTTGGCCGAATTGCACACTTCACACAAACTTGTGATAACCCCCTCCTTCCGGCACCTGAAGCAGATCACGCCTGGGATAGAAGGACAATTCCTATAAGAATGACCGACCGACTTACACTTCAAGCACAAAACGCCCTCCTTGTCAGAGGTGACAGCGTTGGACTGTACCCTTTCAAATTTAAAAGATTTGGACGACTCCCTAAGAGGTTTCCTAATACCTGAAGCCTCTAACTCCTTTCCCAATCCTATAAAGTCCTCGAGCGAAGATATCTGTTTACCAATCATATAAGGTGCATAAACCGGCAACATATTGTATTTAATAATAGTAATCAACGACGGCTCTGGAACAGCAGTGCCCAGGCGGCTTTCCATGTCCATGATTTCCGTGATAAAGTCTGGAAGAGACTCACTAGGCTTCTGCTTGCGAATGCGCAGTTCATGCTCCAAACAGCTATCATAGTCCGGCCTATCAAAACGTCTAAGCAAGGCAGCCCTAAGCTCAACCCACGAAGAGATCTTCCTACGAATAGTCCTAAACCACTTGGCAGCAGTACCAGCAAGCAGATCAGCAAACGAACCAATCAACACGGCCTCATGAAAGTTCCTGAATACAAAGTAATCCTCAACACGAGTGATAAATTCTCTAACACAGGTCTTACCGTCAAAGATTATCTTGCTCCTAGTTAAATCAGGCAGCTTCGTAGTATAGGCAGGCATATTCCTCCTAACGTGTTCATTCATGCTGTTGAACGAAGGCAGACTTGGTGCAAGAGCAGGAGTATCACGAACATATGACAAGTCCAATGGGACGCTCATCTCCGCTGACTCATCCGCAGCTGTGCCAACATCCACATTGGCAGGCGACGTTGAAAGTGGAGCCTCCTTGTCCATATTACAAACCGACATTAACCACACAATTCCAAAACAGCCGTTCAAAGGTTAAGTTTTTTAAAATTAATTAAGTTTAAATTTATTCAAAAGTCACTGTTGTGAAAACCTAGGTTTAAATTATTTAAAAGTTAAATCTTATGAAAGGATAAGTTTAAATTTATTTAAGAGTTAAATGTTGTAAACAACCAGGTTCAAATTATTTAAAAGTTGAATATTGTAAAGAAAAGTCTAAATTGATTTAAAAGTGTAGTGAAAAAGCTAAGTTTTAATTTAAATAACTAAGTTCTGTATTAAAAAGGATTTAAGGATTGCAGTAACCACTAACAATTGTTCTAGTAACTAAATAATAACAGCAAGGCTAAGCTAAGTTAAGTTAATCTTAATTTACACTAAGTTATATTATAATAATTCCAAAGCGGAGGTATCTATAAAATGTTTCTTGAGCAGACTTACAATTAACATTCAAAGCTATTAAATTGTAACACAAAATGTTTCAGTAAGTATACCCTTAATTGAGAATACAATAGGCAGCAGTATAACTTAAATTATTGTTGTTTGTTAAAGCAAAAGTAACATTGTAATGAAAAGTCACAATGTTGTAAACTATAATTGAAAAATTGCAAAAATAACCTCACTTAATGATAATACAATTATAAAATACACAAGGTATGTAAGAAAAATATAGGATGCAGTAAAGACAGTATCTAATCAGTTATCTAATTAACCTACAGACACTACTTCTGTCCCTGTTCGGGCGCCAATTGTAATAATAAAAAAATAAAAAATTAAATATATGTTGTGGGGTGTGTTTTAAAAGAAATATAACTTAAATTGGTGAATTGGTGGCATCAAATAGAAACAAAATAACAAAATAAAAGTCTCGGGCGCCAGATACCACCTTAAAAGAACACAGAACCCACCACAAACACAACAAATACCTCGGACATCTCAGCCAGCACCGAACCTTTTTAAAACAAGGCGGGAGGACAGCTAAAGAATACAAGATGTTAAGTTCTAATGGCTGTTTATTATCCCGTAGTGTCTGTAGAGTACAATGTGTCTTATGTCTCTAATTACATTAGGTAAATCTTATACACAAATTAGTACTGTCATTAATGCAATCCTTTCCAATAAGAAAATTATAAGGTTAAATAAATTTTAAAGAGTCACATGAAGACCCAAAAAGAAAAGAGTATAAGGGTAGTTGTAGCAACGCCCTACTCCCTTAATTAAAATTAACCCCTTTGGGGACCTGTATAGGTTTTTTAAACAAAGTCGCATAAAGACTTAATAGACAAAACAATAAACTCTAAGGGTAGACATAGCATTGACCTACTCTCTAATAAAAATAACACCCCTTAGGGACCTGCAGTATTCAATGCCACGTCGCCAAGAAAAATATAACAAAAACACATACCGATGACCTTGGATCAGTCCGAACAAAATGAAATCAAACCAAACTCCGAAACTTCTCACTCCGGATCCCACGTGGTGTAAGAGGCGGGTCAGCACTCCCAGGCTCCAGACCATGGCGTACAGCTAAGCAGCTTTTTCTACCATTCTGGCGCTCCACAGCAAACTAATTTCCAGGGGTTAAACTCCGGCGAGAGACAAAAATCGAATGCCACGCAAGGACATTCCAATAAGAAAGTAAAATAATTTAGGTAAGGTAAAGACTTTAGATATAAGCTAAAAAAAAAAAAAACCCTGATTCATCTGCAAATAAGGAAAAATTATAGGTTAAAAGCCTATCTCACAAGATGAACCATAACTCTGACAAGAAATCATATTTCACTTACCAGGGTTCTAAAATGCTTCACAAATCAAGCAGCGGCATTATAAGCATTATAAGCATTGCCTGTAACCAATTAAACAAAGAGTTAAAACCACAAATTCCGCCAAGCCAAGCGTGAAGCACGTGGCCGAACAAACTCACCTTTCTCATCAAAAATAATCACTCGATCCACTAGCTCGAGTCTTAACTAGGTTGGCCAAACTTTTAAAGAGGAAATAGGCCCTCGTCCATATCAAATAAATACGGATTTCTAAAAAATTAAATGACAAAATTTGTTTTGCGTCATTTCGCTCGGCGGCCGGTCCAAAAGTGAAAGTCAAAGTGATACCAGTGCAATCGTCTCTCGCTCTATAGAGCGGGGAAACAAAAATGTTGCCAGAACAAGAAAAACTAAATCGACTAAACTAATCGCGGGCGAACAACATCGATTATTACTCTCGTCCGTCCCTCGACCATCGGCACTCGCAGAAACGACAAAAAATTCAATCTAACAAAACAAAAACGAGACTAAGGTTCAAATTACTGTAATGGCGCGAAATGCACCGTTACAATTAACACTTAATTATTACTTTCTTAGTTTAAACTGGGCTATTAATTACAGAGATTTACAGGTAAGATATCTAATTTGATGATTACTGTAACGAGTAATTGACCATTAGGTACTTAGAAGTCATTAGATAATATTCAGCAATTTATTAACAACATGTTGTTTCTATTGAGATGTAATGATAACAAGTGATCCGTCTGCTAGTTTGCTCTTCCATAAAAAAAGTTAAAAAAACCTTTTCTTAGAAAAAAGATTTGAATTTGTTTCTTTGCTGGCCCATTGAGTTTTAATCCTTATAACAAACATATTACAATACAAACAACTTGTAAGACACTCATGTTATGAAAACTTCCAATCTTTTGATACTTTGCTGTAAATACTCTGTAATGAAATAATTCACAAAACAGGGATTCTTAATTCATTATATTCTTGTTTGTCAGATCGGTTATTAGCCTTATAACATGTCCTGAGATCTTGCAATACAAATAACTTAAGTAATAGACTTACAGAAAATTACAATATTTTCTTGTTGCAAATACCTTTGTCACTAAATTTGTAAATTTATAGTATATGGGCTTGGTGGACTTAATTGTACATACGTGGGCCGATGTGGCGCCCTCTCACATGGGACGTAGCAGTGGAGGGCCGTGTGTACATAATCAGGCCTATGTATTATGTATTATGTATTGTATAAGTGTATCATCTTACTAACAATAATTCTTAAGTTTACCAATTTTAAATATTATTAAGTAAATTAATTATCTTTACATAATATAAAATTAAGTCGCCTTTTTTTCTTGTACGCTTAGATCTTTTAAACTAAGCAACGGAGTCGTCACCAATAGAGAGAGTAATTCAAGAGAAAGGTTTATATAGCTTATTTAGGATGATAAATGCATAATACAGGAGAGAAAATCCGAGAATTTCAAAGATTTGTCTTAAGAAAAACATGGTTTTGCGTGCTTACCTACCCATACACTGGCTAATCCTTACAAGATCGACTAAAAGAATGTACTACGGAATTGTATATCCGATCCGATAAAAAGATCTACAAAAAAGTCCTTGATGGTATATGTCTATCTAGTAAGGATAACCAACAGTAAACCTTTTGTATCTTTTAAAAATAAAAATGGGTTATTTACGATGCTATTTGAGACAATACATCATTATTCATTATCGAATTAAATATGCAAAACGTATGTAATTGCATTTAATGTAGATTTAAAATTGCTCCTTACAGTATATCATTAAAATGAATATTGCTTTTAATTTGCTGGGTGGCAGCGGCTGGATCAGCAGAGGCTGGCAGAGGATCAGAGCGGGCCCACAAATATTGTATATAAAGATGTCCTTGTAGTACAGTTGTATCATAATAATAATATAATTAATTACTCCACACTAACAGCACCTTAGTAGTATCTACATTACCCATGTGAAGCCGGGGCCGATTGCTAGTTATTAATTAAATTGTTATTTATATTTTTCTAGTCCATTAGCCAGCCATTTATTTTTGGTCTTATAACTTTATGTATACGATAATTGGAATAGAAGCTGATAGCTGAATCTTTCATGAATGAAGAATGAATTAAAATATTTAATGACTGAAGATGGCAGACTACATTTTTTTCTTACTTACAGATGATGAGCTCCCTGATTATGTGATGGTAATGGTAGCTAATAAACGCACCCGTTCTCAAATGGAGGATGATCTTCAACTGTTTCTTGGGGACAACACAGAACTGTTTGTGAATTGGCTGCATCAGGTGTTGAAGAAATTGCAGGAAGTCACTGTAGCTACACCAGCTCTCAGTACGTATATCAAACATTAAATGAAATTGAGCATGTCTTTTTTTTTGTAAGTGATGTATTGAGTCCTCTGATCACCTGGTCATAATCAGTTACTCAAGGGACACAAGAGCGTCCCAGCTCGTTAGGATCCTCATTCACTTAGTGAAAAACAATGAAACAGTTGCTTAACACTGGATTTCTATGAGGCCCTGGTATCACTCTGATTGGGCCAGCCTAAATGTGATGAAGCATGTTTCTCCGTCGGTCTGTTACAAAGTGACATTTTTGAATACTTAATATATCTGACTTACTCCAACTAAAGCACATTTTATAATAACGTATTTATTACTTTACAGAAATAGCAGAACATGACAAAAGCAAGGAAAGATCTGCCTCTAAAGATCGAAAAACAAAGGAAAAGAAGTCAAAAGAAAAGCATAAGAAGAGTGATATGAAGAAGGCCAAAAAGAGAGAGAAAGAAAAGTTGTTCCGCAAAAATGAGGACAAAAAAGTCCATAAGACAAAGAAAAAAAGTAAACATCATGAAATGATAAGGCCAAATATTCCTCCGTTACTTATGAATATGGAGAAGGTATCAGAGCCTTCGATTACTGATGTATTTGCTGGTCAAATTCTGAAGAACCACGGCATAAACTTAGATACTTCTAAAGAAGAGTCCAAGCCTGAAGAAAAACCCATAATCCAGGAAGTCAAAAGGCCTATTCTGCCTATTATAGATCCATCAACTATATCATCTCAACCTGAACTGGGGACAAACCAAACTATAGATAGTGTAAGTAATGAACTATCTTCACCTAAGGGAGAACAAATAAAGGAAATAAACCAAATTGAAGCTAAAATTCAGGGATTAAAGCAGAAATTGGCAGAACAGTTAGATTCTATGTCTGATGACGAAGACTTTCTAAATATTAGAACTGAAGCTGAGGAATTGATGAATGATTTTGCGGAAGATGTATTGCAGGTAGGTTTTAAAGTCCCTAATGATATTTTTACATTATGCCTATATTTTTTTCTAATTAGTCCTAAAAGCCTCAAACAGTATTTTACAGGTAGTGATAATGTTACTACTATGCTGCATATTATGTTTGCCTCTATTAAAATCCTTTACTACTTAAAATTTAACAATCTTCATGCCAAATCAATTAGTATCGCCTTGATACGAATAAAGTGTAAAACCCTCTTGCTATATTTATGCATTATTATTTTTGGTTATGCAGAAGCAAACATTTGCTTTAGGATATGTTGACTGCAAAAATACTGTAAAATGGACCTTTAGATAATTACTCATTACCCAATTATGCTAACAAGGTATCCTATATATATTATGTTTAAAGAGTTTTATGATTAGCTAATATATTATTATTACTTCTGTTGATGGAGCTGTATAATTAGGTGACATCACACCTCACATAAAAGTATATTGTGGGCTTTTACTAGTCAGTTTATATTTAATAAAATATTCAGTTACTTCAGTTCTTTTCAGACAGTTTGTCTTTTAGCCCTATTAGTTATCTATTTTTCACTTTTTAATAGTAATAATAATAACACAATAATAATTCCCCAAATAAGATCCCAAACCTGATTAACTCTGATAAAGCCTGTGCTATTGTAACCAGACTGATGTTAAATATGCATATTATTATATGAATTTAGATAGTATAAAATAAAGTCGACTTTTTCATGAAACTAATCAACGGATTTTAATGCTATTTTCACCAATAGAGAGAGTGATTCAAGAGGAGCGTTTATATGTAAAATATATGCATATTACAGTAGAGAAAATCCGAGAATTTCAAAAATTTGTCGTAATAAACATGTTTTTGTGCGTTTTCATTGCAAACGCTGACTAAACCCTACGATATAGATCAAAAAATATACTACGGATAGTATATCTTAAAAAAATCTACCAAAGAAATCCGCGTTGGTATATGTCTATCTCCTACTGATAACCTGAGAAATGTATTACAAAAAATAATGGCTACTTTACGAAGCTGTTTTGAACATGCAGTATTAGTAAATAAATACATTTAATATGTTGTGCAGTTAATGTAGATCAAAATTGTGTTCACTGCTTATCATTAAAGTAAATATCTTAGTAGATATTAGAGGTTTGAAACCGGTTGGTAGTGGCCGGAAGGAGCGGTGCAGGCCCCTATAAATATTGCATTTACAGATGTCCTGTATTATAGTCTTTATCATAATAATAGTATAATTAGTTACACCACATTGACACCACATTAGTAGTAGTATCTACATTGCACCCGTGCAAAGCCGCGGCGGATTGCTAGTTATAGATAAATTACACCCAGACACAGAACAAATGATTCTGCTCATCACACAATTATTTAATTACAATAATTGTGTTGAGGCATATGCGTAATTGTGTGTCTATCAGTTGTATTTAATGTACATGGTGAACAAGCATGCCTTCTCCAATCACATCCAGTTGTTAAATGTTTAAATATTTTTTACACATGGTAAAACATTTGTATATATAAGGTTTTTGACGCAATGTCTTATTTATAAAATGTTTTTTTTTATTACAGGAGATATCTCAACAAACACCTGTAATAAAGACTCCGCCTATGGAAACTCATATATCCCCCACGCCTCCCCTTCCTGTTTCTAAACATACAGAAGTTACTACAGAATCATCCACAGATCCCATAAACACTTTACCACAAATTGAGTTAAAGTTACCCAAAAGGCCTGTTAGAGAGAGATTAGGAGTCCGAGAAGAGTCCAAAATGAACCCTGAAGCGAAGAAAAAGGAAAGGACTGAGAGTCCAGAAAGGTTGTTAAATTGCCACTTTAAGGTAGAAGAAATATATATCAGCACAATTATTCTATTCTTAGATATCTAGTTATAAATCGCGTAATTACTGTGTAGACCTATTGTTACAAGTTTAGAACTTAACAAATTTTTCTATTTGTCAATTTGAATCTAATTTCCTAAACAGCCTTTTTCTTTTTGGAACCATAAATAATCAAAAGCACTAAAGGACAAAATATATTGGTATTGGTGGTAGCCGTTTCTTTTGCTTTAAGACCTCCTCTGCAAATTGGACTACCTGTCGCATTGATGGTGAATAGGTGTCGGTTCAGGATTAGGTGCCCCGTTATTGTTCTAACAACTATTCGGATGTCTGAGACTCATCAATCTGCAAGCTGGTTGAAAGGCAGTGGCAATAGTGTGGATGGGCCAGCAGGTGGTGAAGTCGAGCTCCATCTTGCCAGCTTATCTACAGTGTCTTGCCCGTGTGAATTGCTATGTCTTTTAATCTATTGGAGTACCCAAAAGTTCTAAAGCTTGATGGCATTCGAGTACTATGCCCAAGTTCACGATGTTGCCCTCCAGTGCTTTTAGTACAGCCATGCTGTCTGACAATATTCGGCTTTTATAATCCGTTATTCCCTTTGACATGACCATTGTGGTGGCGTGAGTTATTGCAACACATTCGCATTGAAATATGGAACTGTGTTGGTCTAACGCTAGTGATAAATTTATGTTTAGGTCTTGTGGGAAAACTCCGGTTCCAGTTCCTGAGCGTTTTGGAACCGTCCGTATGTATTCGAACTTCTTTAATGCGGGATTGATCTCGGTTATGTAGCTGAATGTCATATCCTTTTGTAAATATGTGTTGTTTAAAGATACTGTCGCCTGCTATTAGTTACATTTGTTTATTACTCACATTTGTGCTGACCCAAGTGTTCTGCCTCTTCCTGTACAAAAAGGTCAAGTGGAGTGGAGGTGATCCCAAGAGCCACCTCGAGAGCGGTTGTTGTCGTTGTGCGCATGCAACTAGTGACAGCGGAGCAAGGAAATCGTTGGAATTGCTGCAATTTGTTTATGACAGTGCTTATCTCTGTTATCTGCCACCAGGCATTTGCACCATACGTAATTATTGGTCTATTGGCTATTTTATAAAGCCATGTGTTCTTTGGTGATAATGCCCAACTTTTGCCTTTTGCATTGGCAGAAGACGATGCAGGCCTTGTTCAGTTTTTCTTTGAGGTGCCTATTGCATAGGTTTTTATTGTCCAATATTGTTTACTGTTTACTGTCCAAATGCTTGGGATTAATTAGCACAGGCTATTTCTTATGTAAAAATGTGGTGTGGGTTAGTGTTTTTTATTATCTATTTTTTTTTTGTTTACTTCATTTTCTCTTTTATTCGTTTTTTGTTCTTTATCTTGTTTTCTCTTCATTGTCTTTTTACACAACAATTTTTTTTTTTATGAAATAAAGAGTTTGAGTATGAATATAACACCTAGGTATTTGACCTCCTTGGTAAGAGCAAGTTGGTTTGCAAATAGTTTTGGGAAATCTAAGATCACCTAGACTACGCTTATTTGTGAACATTATTATCTTCGTTTTCGACGGGTTCACTGTCAAATTGTGTGTTGCACACTACTGTTCCTTACGTACCTGTAGTGCGAATCTCATTTGATCGCATATAACGTTTTCATAGGGACCGCTGATGAGGATGGTTAGGTCGTCTGCATAGCCTACTGTGAGGAATCTGCGGTCGTTAAGTTGAATATATTTTTTTTATATATGTAACAACAACTGAACAACAAGAGTGCTAGTAATTTTCTTATAAAAATATAATCCTTTGACCTTGAGTGTATAGCTTTGTCTTATCTATCTCACTACTTTCCTATATTTAAAATTTGCATATCAATTAAAATAGAAATCAAGGTTTTTGTACACCAGTTACAATTAAATTACATGGAAATTAGAGAAACGATGTTTATAATGGGTGTCGTGCTTTTATATTAAAATGCCTATTCAACTCTTTCATTGCTGCATAACACACCCTGTGTTCTTAAAAACCTTATCCAGTACTGATAAAACACATGGGTATTTTTTTTCGATCCACAACTGCTGGCTACACAACTGTTGTGTTCCTTACAGCAGTGCTTAGAACACACACACACGTAGCCTAACGGCAATGCGTGGAGCATACGTTTGAGTGTATAAATGTTTTATATTTTCGTTTATATTGTCTAATATGTGTTCTACGAATAAAGTTGAACCTATATTTTTTTTTAATACAAAATATTAATATGCAAACGTGTGCTTAATTCCTGTTAAAATAATTTATCTAAAATCGTCACATTTTTTTTTATATTTCAATAAAAGTATCTTGAAACTTTATACTAAATGCAGTCTTGCCTTTTTTTTTAAATTAATGTTATATATTTATTTATACAACATATTGGACAAAATAAACGAAAATAGAAAACATTTATATACTCGAACGCATGTTTTAAACCTCCTTTCTAAGGAGATGCCTATGTCCAGCAGTGGACTAGTAAAGGCTGTGGATGATGATGATGATGATGTTTTACGCATTGCCGTTACGCTACACAAAAGTTGTGTTTTCAGCACTTTTGTACGGAACACTAGGGGGTGGATTACGGCACGCTCGTCGTGAACACAACACAAGTTGTGATTTATACGCAATGTCGACTATTCAAAATACCCCAATGCTGAAAACACACTACTACAAAAATAACCTTAGACTGCTAACGAATGTATCGTTAGCAGTCTAAGGTTATTTTTTATATATTATAGGCAGCAGTGAAGGTGTTATACCATTGATTATACGCAATCTGTTTTTAGATTTACACCAGAACGTGAGCCAGAACAACGCTCCCAAAAGTCAGTAAAGAGTCGGTTAGGAGATTTGCCAGAAACAACCAAAAGAAGTCCTTTGGCTGATGATGGCAATTTTGATAAGTCAGCAGAATCCACTAATAAGAAGCTCACGTCCAAGTAAGTTGAAAATACCAGATTTTGCACTTTTACATATTTTTCGTTTCTTAGTAGTAACAATTGCCAAAGTAATAGTACTTCGACATGTTTTTACTTGTCAGTTCTATTACTACCAGCATAGAGTTTAAAACTGTTATAACCTACAGTGATCTCTTCTATTCAGGCTTATTTACCGTCGAAGTAGAATTAAAAATTATATGTATATAATAAGTATGAAAAAGTATAATCATATCACGTAATATAGATTTTTCTTTAGATTGAAAAGTGGTCGTAATTATAGTGATGTTTTTTTTAATTGCTAACTTTTGTATTCTTATCATTATTGAAGATGGAGTCTCCCGTCACAAGTATTTAATACTTAAAAGGAGACCCCTTGTTTGAAAAACATATTAAAAAAAACTTTAATTTATAAGACATTCTTTTTTATGGCATTGAGTGATATTAGGGTAAAAAAAGTCGATAAGTCTATTATATAGTCGATTATAGACTTAAATTTTTCAGATTTTTTTAAAGGCTTCAAAATAACAAAGACAATTAGGGTAATTAAAAGTTGACTTTGGTATCTCTTACCATAACACTGACAGTGCTTTACAGAATATTATTATAAAAACTGACAATCGTTAGCTGGTTTACCGATTCGATTACGTAACCGATCAGACCTATCTGATCTGGCTGCATACGCCGATATGTGCAATCACGTGATAAAAGTTAGGTTTAAACTATTTTGGGCTTTTCAAAATTTAGTAACGGTAAAAAGTAGCGGTGTAGGTATTTAATTTGAAAGAAGCGGTGCGTGCAAGAGAATATGGCTAGGAAGGGAGTAGTCAATGAACCGACGAGTGATAGCGGAGAACGGAAAAGAAAATTCATTGCGCCTACCCCAAATAAATTTGGTAAAGCGTAAAAAGATGACGGTGTAGGTTTTAAATTAATTATACAGGGTTACTGTAATTAAAAAAAAAACAACTTTAAATATGGCATATGGTATTTCATAGAGCAAAATCTATCAGAAAGTATGGCAACTACAACCCCTTAAAGTATCTAGGTAGACTTAACCAGTAACCCTGAATAACAATTCTTTATATTATTGTCTAAGTCATATCGTGTAAAACTCTTCAGGGTATCCGTGTTGGACGGGCGCCCGAGCCGGTCGATGTGTGCGAGCGTGGTGCGCGTGCGGCCGCGGCCGCGAGTGGGCGCGCCCGCCTCCAGCCTACTGCTGCGCGCCGTCGCAGACGCGCACAAGAGCTTGTTGAATGTAAGTGGCTTGCTTGCTTTCCAATATACTGCATCTCAAAATCAACAGTCATTTATTCCAATTAGTCTGAATGCCAGCACTTTTTGAACGTCATTATTTACATAAAGACAACCCCCTAAAACGCCCAACCTGTCACCGCTTTCTAGTGTTTTAGCGGTGAAACAAACTCGCCTGCGACACGTCACTCACAGTTCTGACAACACCATTAAGTAAAAAACTGATTTGGTTAAATAAACTGACAATAGTTGTCCTGTATTTTATAAAAACAGTTGTTAATTGAAAAAAAAAACAAGTCGATAGTCGATAACATCGGTAAATTCGGTCACATGCAATGTCAATTATTTTTTTCCAGACGCCCAGTACAAAAGCGGATAAAGACACGCAAGTGAAGCGCGCTCTTGTGTTGCCGATGCGACGATCAGTCGAAGCTCAAAAAATCGTCATCCAAGTAGCTGCTGACAACACGCAAGAGACTGGTGACAGCATTAGTCTTGGGGGAGATATGGACAGTGATGATGATAAAAGTGAAAAGTAAGTTATATTATTCTATTTGGCTTGGGTTAGTGGGGAGGCCGTGCTCAAAGGGTGGTAAAACACTAGGCTCTTCAGGTGTAAATCTCCCTGGGAGTCAATAGTCACCATTACCATCAGATGACCCTTTTGTTCGCTTGCCATGTTATACCACAAAGTTCTGTTCTTCTAAAATCTGAGCAAACTTGAAAATTGTCTCGCGATAAGGAATACCAGTAGCACCTTTTAGTACCACCTTTTATTTCATCTTTATCTCTGCGATAAAGAAGAAATAAAAGGTAGTACTCGTCTCCTAGTTAAATAACACATTTGAAGACATGGACGATGGAGTTCTTTGTTTGTTTGTCTCATATATAAATCGGTATAGTCATTAATAATCGTGATCGAATCAATACCCGATCTCAGCTCGTAACAAAAACAATACAATACCTCTACTCCCATTGCACTCGAATGCTTAGTAATCATAAAGTTACAACTATATATTTACATACACTACAGACTAACAAGAGAATAAGAAAAACATTTACTTTCATTAGTTGTTCAACATTCACTAGTTCCCATTTCAACTGGTTAAGTTTTTCTACTTTCTAACTATTACTTAATATTTTTAGATTGGCGTGTGAAATAAATAAGGAGGAGGAATACAAGCCAATAATTCTGCCTAAGAAGGTCATTAACAATGAGTATGCACCACCAGTGTCGCGTAACGAGGCTAGGACGACCAGTCGGAAGGATGACACACTTATTATTGAAACTATGTAAGTTTACTTTCTTTCAAATGTACTCGGAATTTTTTCACCCCTTTTTTCGGTACGGAAATTCCCTCCGATACCACCCACCGGTGGGGTGGTTTTGTCGACTAAAAACCGCACGCCCTCTAGGGTACCAGTAACCGGGGAACAAGGTGTACCCTAGAAAGGAAATCCTTGGTACCCCGACGGATCCTGGGCCATCTACGACTTGTAGATGACCGCCTCGTGTGTGGAAACCACAATGTTCCCAGTCTATTCCCTTCGGGAGCCCGCGTCTCGCCGTCACTCCGACCTGCTTCTACTAGAGTTACAGATGGCCTCACCTGTCACCCCCAGGCCTGCGTTTATGGAAGAACTTTGCTTCCCTAACCAAGAAGTTGCACCAATTATTTGAAATTCGAAGAAGTAATATGATATTTTGGTAATCAAAACATAAAAACTAAATTTATCAATTTGTACGATAACTTGAATTTACTTAAACAACTCATTATATGGCCTGGCAAAGACCAAGCCATTAGATGAAGAAATAGCTTTATGATTTCGGGAAACCAGAGAATGTTATAAGTAACTAGATCTCGTTCTGTATATATCTGTAAATGTATCACTTTTTTCTTTCTTCTCTCAGTTCTGCTGGGGTGTTTACATTTATCAATGTAACTCATTCATTTATTAAATGAAATGATGCTATGCAAATTGCATAAAGGTGTTCTAACATTATTTTTGTTTAAATATTATTTGCAGAAATATCCATAACACCTCAGACTCCAAGGACAAAAACACTCAATTCATAGTCACTATGGATGGCTACCATCCAAATGCCTTTCTAGCTAAGAAACTACAGACTGAGGGCCTCTTAAATGATGAAGATGAAATTAGCAAGACTGGTAATGAAAAAATAATCCCACCTGAAACTAAAGAGCAGAAACCTAAGGAGAAAGAACCTGTTAAAGTCGTAGAGAAAGTTCCAGACGATCAGGCGAAACGCTTAAGTAATACAAGCGAAGAGAGTGAAACAAAAGTTATTATTAAACAGGAAGATGAGAAAAAAGAGAAGAGAAAAGGTGTTGAAGTGTTAGATCCGCCGGTCGTGAAGAAGAGAAAGAGATCACCGATAGTATTCGATGTTGATAAGAAAGTCAAAGAGACAGAAAGAGTTAGAGAAAGAACAGAAAGTACGAGCAGTGATAGTCACGTGACGGTTAACACAGTCACAAATACCCACAAATATGATTCTGTACCATCTTGTAAGTATCTAAAAAGTTCTCATGTCTTAACCAGACGCTTACAGGTAGTTTATAATTAACTTTTAAACCTCTGTGAAATGTAACCAACTTAAAAAAATCTTTAATAGAATTAGTGATCACTTTACAAACGTAGATATTTTGAAACATGTATATCGTTGTCATCAAAAAAATATTGACAAAGAATGTATGAAACGATACACTCGTTCTTTGTCAATATTTTTTTCACTTCATAAGAAACAATTTTATCTACTACGAGTAATAAGGGATAGTACTTCGAATACTGAGTCGAACGGAGTGTACTTATAATATTTTATTCGTGGCAGTGTCAGCGGCGGAGCGCAAGCTGGTGTGGTGTCGTCTGTTCCCGGCGTGCCGCTACGGCTCGGCCTGCGCCTTCGCGCACCCGCGCTGCAAGTTCCTCGCCGCCTGCACGCGCCGCAACTGCGTGTACTCCCACTCGCCCTCCGCCCCCGTCCTGCCGCCCTCCTCGCCCCACTCGACCCTCGCGCCCCTCGCACCACACGCTGTGCACCCCATGGCGACCAGCGTGCCCATTATCGGTCAGTATTCACTACTTAAATTTTAATATTATTGAATAAGTACCAAAAAAAATAATAAAGTTTTGTCGGGGAGCCCGGACACGAGCCGGCAAAAACCATTTTAGAGTGACATAAGGTTATACCTAAGCCTTTCAGAAATACAGGCAGTAAGTTCATGGATAAAACTAATTGTAATAACTACCTATTTTTTTTTTGTTTTTCAACCGTCGTAGATCTGAGCAGACATTGATATACGCCCGAAATTCTAGTAGTTAAAATGATCCACCGTGTCAAGTGGTGTGAGATTGATCACCTCATAGGCAAGACTATACTACCGTAACAGCGTCTGATTTTTGAAGTGAAAACTTCTTTAGGCGCGTTGGGCATTTTGCACAACAAAGAAAATAATGTATTTTTTTGAGATCGGAACCAACCGAAAACCATTGAACTCGCGACACTGTTACCGTTACCGACACCTCTGTATATTAGTATCTACATATATTGGCCCCGTTTATACGAGAGTTGAGTTTGGGTTGAAATACATTGGTAATATAACAACTATATATAATATAAACATATATTGTGTATATAAGTACAACATAGATTCATGTCGGAACTTTTCGATTACAAAAAAAGAAAAAAAAACCTTATAATCAAACGTTTTCAAATTTTCACTTCTGTTGGCACTGCCACTGGAGTGCCACTGTTAATTTTTTATTATTTCATAGTGTGATGACTAACTAGTTCACTAAACTACTTTCTCCATACAGTATCCCTTTATTCATACTTTGTAAAAGTTCACAATATAAATCTTTTATAATCTATCTATATGCTTACAGCGTCTCACGTAGTCCCAGCAGCGAACTACAAGTCAATATCAGCGGTGGTACCAAACATGTGCAAGTTCTACCCGAACTGCGTGAATCCAGCGTGTCACTTCTATCACCCGAAGCCGTGTCGTTACGGCAATAATTGCGCTAACAAACTAGAATGTAACTTTTATCATGCAGATGTACCACCGAAGTGGAGATACACTGTTTAATTATAAATATAAATTATATAGAATATTACAATTTCGTTTTATTTCAATAAACAAATTTATTATTTATGCTATTGCTGCTGTCGTTCAGCTCAGTTAAGTATTCTAGCATAGCAAACATGATGAATTTGTAAAAAAACTGTATTCTTCATTCCTAAATTCTCTATTAGTTAAGCATACCTATAGTCCAGGAGCCACCAATCCTGAAAGCTCCGTGATCACGGATTCTAATATTTTTAATAAAAAATAAAAGTTAACGTTTAGACGAACAAGGTTTGCTTGGTCGGCGTGGATTTGATTGGCCGGAAATATTTTAATTAAATTATTTGTTATTAAATTTCCATTTTTTTTTTTCCGTCATCACGGATTTTGATCAATCTTATATAGAATTTTGTGTGAAATATTATGTTCAATAAGAAAAAATCCGGCCGACCAATGATTTTTAGCCGGAAAGGTCACGCATACCTATTTGAATGGTGTGATAAGGGGTAAAATTTATCCATTATCACGAAAACCTTTTTTTTTTTTCAATTCACGCGTTTTAATGTCACATTTATAATTATCTTGGTATGCGTGCTTACAAACTGCCGAAAGTATCGCGCATACCAAATTTTAACTTTTAAACAAATGTTCGCCTCAACAAAAAATCCTCATAAAATCATTAGATACTGACGTGTTAATTATTTGTCTTTTAAACATACATAAATTCAAAGAGCAAGAATTGTGGATCACAACCAAAACCAATAACGAAATAAATTACGTAAATTGTACACAACTCGCAGAAAAGCTAGGTTCATCAGTCTGTCGAGCTCTACCGGGCTTCCATGCTTCTACAGGTTGTGATTATACAGCAGCTTTTGTTCGTAAAGGAAAAATTAAAACCTCCTGTTAGAAAATGAAGAATATCAGAACATGTTCGAGCATTTGACAAATCCGGAAGACATAAATGATAAAGAAAAGACAGATTTTTATAAATGAAATGTATAACGTAAAAAATAATGATGTTAATGTTGCAAGATTTGAATTATTCTTAAAAAATTTTGCAAGTACAACCGACAAAGAAATTTTTTACAAAGGTATGATAAATTTCAATTGAAATAATATTCCACCATGCTGGAAAACTTTAACGCAAAAAATATTACGCACCGTTTTTGTAAACGCAATGTGGCAAAATGCTACTGAACCTATTTGTACATTATATGATCCAACAGAATGTGGATGGCAAGTAAGTGAATCCAGTAAACTCGAACCATTGTGGTACATTGACCCATCGGCACCGTTAAAGGTTGAGGAAATATTAAGTTGCCAACAGAATGAGGAAGAAAGCGTAGAATCGGAAGAAGAGAGAAATGATAATTTTGATGATAATGATGTAGATGATTATTGATTAATAAACTTGAATTGAACATATTTTTTGTATCAACCTTCGTTTATTATATAATCAACCCAAATAAAAAAATCCTATATTTCCTCTTTTCCATATTAATTAGTATAATAAACAGTTAAAAACTTAAGGAGGTAGAAGAAAGACTCTAAAAGAAATGTCATCAAGTAAGTGAAATCTATAACAGTACGATCCTCACTCACACAATAAAATTTGGTATGCGCGATACTTTCGGCAGTTTGTAAGCACGCATACCAAGATCATTATACATGTGACATTAAAACGCGTGAATTAAAAAAAAAGACGGTTTCCGTGACACTTACACCATTCAAATAGGTATGCGTGACCTTTCCTCAAAACATCATTAAAATAAAAATCATTGGTCGGCCGGATGTTTTCTTGTTGAACATAATATTTCACACAAAAGTCTATAGAAGATTGATCAAAATCCGTGATGACGGAAAAAATTATGGAAATTTAATAATAAATAATTTAATTAAAATATTTCCGGCCAATCAAATCCACGCCGACCAAGCAAATATTGTTCGTCTAAACGTTAACTTTTATTGTTTATTAAAAATATTAGAATCCGTGATCACGGAGCTTTCAGGATTGTTGTGTAGTAGGCGAGGAGTCACCCTCGCCTACTAATACTAATTACACTACACTAATACTAACTACATTCAATTTTCAAATTGTCAATTTCTCAAACAATTGCATTATGCCAGAGATTTTAAATTATACGTCACTAATAGACATGGGACAAAATCAAAGTGAACTGATTTATCATTCGATTTTTGCGTACGTAGGTTAGGGTTGCTAGGAAGGTATTTTAGATGCCATTTAACAGTCAATCTATTTTTTTTTTAATTATTATGTAGGGAATGGTAGCTATATATAATCAAATAATTACTAGATTTACTGCTAAATAGGCGAAATAGGGTTTTTATGCATCGTCTGAAAATAGCTTATTGGCATAAATTGAATGATAAATCACCGGTCTTTCACAGTTGACTGTGATTTTGTCCCATGCCTAGAGTGAGTGTGAACTGTTTCTGTGTCCCATTCATTGTGAGATAGTTAAACTAAATAGCAACATCGATATAGAACGATGCGAGTAGTTTTGACATTATTTGGTAGATGGAAAAAAGTGACGTCGGCGGTGCTTAACACCCCCTCACCCCGGCAATTGCTACGCGTTAGTCATAGGGGTGTGGAGGAACAAGTGTCATGTCCCTCTAACATAAAGGGATGATCTTCCAACCAGGCGAGTCGGTCATGCATGGCGGGCCGGGGCCCAACGATTGATGTAGAGAAGTTGTATATATGCTAATCTATTTCCGATAATACTCAAATGTTTTATAATGCAGTTTAAATATAAGTATTTGCACAGCAAAAAAGTGATAGAAAAAGTAAACTGATAGAATAGAATATCCTTCATTGTACACCGATTACAATATGTTAGATAAATATAACAGACGGATATGTACAGTGGGCGGCCTTATCGCTAAAAGCAATCTCTTACAGGCAACCTTTGGATGGACAAATTGACAGAAGATGAGAATAAACAATGGGTTGTCTAGGTGTACTGAAGCTACAGTAGTGTAAAAATAAATAAATAATTTACACTCATACATATACATATATAAATAACATATTTAATATATATAATGATAACCATGAAATAATTTAGTCGTGTACAGTTATTTTAATAGGTCGAATCATTATACGACTTATGAAGTCACTTCATAAGTCGTAATATGATTCACAAAACAAAACAAGTACACAAAGCTTGGCACCCGTATAAATCTTAATTCTTTTGTCTTCAAACTCGACAGCGACGCATATTCTTAATATTGAACTTGGCTCTCATTTCACATTTATTTTTTTGATGGGATATAAATTACAATGATCAATTTTTCACAACAATTCGATTACTTCTACTTAAGTATTACTACCAGACTGCATGATGCTATTAAACACTTAAATATTAAAATGATTGTGACATATTTAGGTAATTATTATTGTATATTGTAAACATTACGCTAATATGTGTAAAATATTCTTTTGGTGACATCATAAATCAATTTACCTAGAAAGTTTATCACATAAAAGCTATTTATAAGATCAATTTGATTTGATTTATTTCAATGTTTGTTTTATCTCAGAGGCAATTTTTAGGTATAGAACTTCCTTTTTTATATTACTTTAATTGACTTTAATTTAGATATTAGTGACACAGGAAAGAGATTATGTTCGATTCAGATATGACTAATGCCGTATTACAGAAAGTTTCTCAAAACTCAAGTAGGTACCTAACGCTTGAGCGTAGTTTTATAAGGCGAAAACTAACCTAAAGCGTTTCTAGAGTTTTGAGTATAATTTTGTAACGACCCTTACATTTATTTATTTGTGGATGGTTAATTATTGTTATTGGTAATCATTATTTGTGGTTATTCCATTCAAATTACCCAGTCAGCCACCTCGGCCCGCCCTTTGTTGTTAACTTAGACAGATGAATTTCTGATACTTGAAAAAAAAAAACGAAGAACCTGCGTTTTTTAGGTACCTAGGTAGAGATAAAAAAACGAACGTTTATTTATCTACCTATCTAAATACTTCTTCTCTTAATGCCGTGTGTCTAACTTGTTACAGTGATTTTAGGTGGTATGTGAGTAGGGGAGATTGGGTCACAGTGAATCGCGGGGTACAGTGGATAATTCAGTAAAACTCAATATGTGTTGCACTTGCATACACAAACAAACGTGTTGTTATTGCTCGTCCATGCCCCTCTCCTCCGAACTAGTCGCCGTCGCGGTATCAATGCGGGAACACGTGCTGTCACACTCTGCTCAGTAGGTAAGTAACGAAACTATTTTTTTTACGTAATTTTAAATTTTGGTTTATTTCTAGGGATATAAGAAATATGAATGTTTGTATTTTGTCGTACGTTTGTTATTAACTAAATTTATTGTAAATCATGTTGTTTTGTCATTGAGATAGGTAGTTTTTGTTTAGTAATATTGTTTTTTCATAAAGTCCAATGGGTCACAGTGAATCATTTTGTTTTGGGTCACAGTGGACTGCTGATCCATTGTAACCCGTGAAGCTGAATTTCATTCGTCTTTTTTTTTTAGGTAAAAATGCCTCGCAATCGGGTAAGGAAGACTCTTATCGGACTTCACACTGAAAAACAGATGAGCAACGCCTTAAAACTTATATCGGATGGCCAAAAAATAAGGGCTGTTGCTAGATCGACAGGCATTCCTTTTACAACATTATATAGGTATCATATGAAAGTAAAAAATAATCCTGATCCTGAAAAACCAATAAGGCACCGTCGAGCAAGAAAAAGATATAGTCGACTATATTGTTAAGTGCAGTCAAATGTTTTATGGACTTACCATCACAGATGTTCGACGTCTTATTTACGAAGTTGCGAAGATTAACAATATAAAAGTACCAGATAAATGGCATGATACTAAGCTCGCTGGTATTGAGTATTTATATAATCTCAGAAATAGAGATAATCGATTATCATTGCGCACCCCTGAGGGATGCAGCTTAAGCAGAGCGACGTCTTTTAACCGTCACAATGTTGGTGTGTTCTTCAGTAACCTAGAAAATGTTATGTCTAGACACACTGTCTTTGGAAATGGCACCAGAGTTTTTAACTTAGATGAAACAAATACCATGACGGTGCAAAAATGTGCCAAAGTTTTGGCAGCGAAAGGACAAAGACAGGTTTCTAAGGTCACCAGCGCAGAACGCGGGACGTTAACAACAACTTGTTATATTGTTAGCGCTTTGGGTAATGCACTGCCGCCAGTAATTATATTTCCCAGAGTGCATTTCAAACAACATATGATTGCGGATGCTCCAACTGGAACCTTAGGTCTAGCTACACCAACCGGCTGGATGAACGCAGAATTGTTCGTGCAAACAATCCAGCATTTTATAGCCCATTCAAACAGCAGCAAAGAAAACCCTAGCCTGCTCATATACGATAACCACGAGTCGCATATTTGAATTGAAGCCTTGAATCTAGCAAAAGAAAATGGTGTGACCATTTTAACAGTGCCACCGCATTCAACAGGAAAGCTACAACCATTAGACGTCGGCATTTTCGGGCCATTTAAAAGTGCTTATAACAAAGCAGTAGATAGTTGGATGTTGCGAAATCCTGGGAAAACTTTCTCAATATATGAAGTAGCTGGATGTGTCAGGGAAGCTCACATGAAAGCTATGACACCTGGAAATATATGCGCTGCGTTCAAAGCCACCGGAATATTCCCCTTCAACAGAGATATTTTTACTGATCTAGATTTTACACCATGTGAAGTTACTGATCGACAAATGGATGTGGAAAATGATCAAAATGAGAGCAATAGACCTGTTCAAGATGATAAATCAAGAACCCCATCGCCGTCAATATTAGAGTTTCCCTACCTTGATTCAAATCTAGATTTTCAACTTGAAAAACTTGGCGCTCAAGGTAATAACAGTGACAGAACGAAAACCCCATCACCACATGTACTAGAACTCCCTCCGACTCCATACACAAATATTCAACGACAACCTGATGTTACATTAGTCAACGCTTTATTGCCAATCACGAAGGCCCACGTGCAAAATAAACAACCTAAAACCACTGTTAGTACTTCCTATTTGAATAATTCTAAGATTGCGGCTTGTTCTTTATCGACGCTGGCACTTTCGTCGTCTGCAGCTGGTACTTCTTCTGCAAATGTTAATAAGAAATTCCTGAGTCCATTTCAATTTCGAGGGCTACCCAAAGCAGGGCCACGTAAAGGGGGAAGAGCACCAAGACGTAAAGGTAAATCAATGATTGCAACTGACACACCTAATAAACATGAAATAGAAATGAGAGGAGAAGAAAAGAAACGCAAACAAATAAAGGCAATTGTAAAAACAAAGAAAAGAAAATTTTTACAAGATAGTTCCAGCGAAAGTGGAGACCAAATAAGTGTTTATTCTGAAGAGGAACCGATATTTGAAGATGAAGAAGATGATTATGAGTCGGTGGATCCCAACAACTTTCCTGCACCTAGAAGTTTGCCAAAGGAAGGCGATTTTATTATTGTTGAATTTCAAGTAAAAGAAAAACGAATTTATTATGTGGCAAAAGTTATTGGAAATCAGGAAAATGACACTGAGGTGTCTTTTCTAAGAAGATCAGATAAAATACCAAATAATTTTCACATGCCAAACGTGCCGGATATTGCCACGGTTGCATTACCGGATATTAAGATGATTTTACCAAAACCTAAATGTTCTGGCAATACAAAGAGAAAACAATATATGTACCACTTTGATATTGATTTTTCTAAAATAAATTTACGTTAATTTTAACAATTTCAAAGTAAACACGTTATTGATAAAAAAAATATCAAAATTTTAATTTTATGGTAAGGGAAATTTTATGTTTGTTCTCAGAGCACAAAGTGATTATATTTTCGTTTATTCATAGCTTCACGTTAAATGATTACTATTAAAGTAAATGTTTTTGTTTTTATAATAGAAGACGTAAGTGGATGAAGGTGATATATCTTATTTTCAGATTTTGTCATTTTTTGAGTATATGAATGAGATAGGTCGATACAAATGACTTCAGACCTTAAAATAGTCTTAAAGAAAAAAGTCTGAAGACTTGTTACGTCTTCAATTATAATTGTTGATTTGTTAACAATGTTCCTATTAAAATATTATATGGCAACTACACTGTAAGACTGTTTAAAACTTAATATATGCAGTTGATTGAGTCCCAAAAAGCTCACCTATATTTAAGCTCATTAAAGTGACAATTCATAACTTTTACAAGACTGATTAGTTTTACGTAATAAAAGACTGTCAATGCGTAGAAATAAATGAGTATTAACATGGAAATTATTGTCTTTTACTGTATTTTTTTGTATAGATCCAGTGTACACCAGTCGATTCATTGTCACCCATGCTTTGATCCAAAGTGACCCAACCCAGGGTCACAGTGGACCATTTCCCATTTTTTTTTAAAGTGGTTATAACTCGCAAGTTTATGTAATTCAAGGTACTAAATGCCCTTTTCTTTAAAGATTAGATACCCACCTTGTGATTTACTTTCAGATATTTATCATTTGGCCATTAACTTCTGAGTAGCACTATTAAAAAAAAAAAATTATCCACTGTTACCCAATCTCCCCTATACGCAGATAAGTGGCTAAAAAACACACCAGATTTCAGTATACAATGGAAATATTTTCGGATTCGGTAACAGTTTCGGCCGAACGTTTAGTTTCGGTTTCTAATTACGGCAGAACTAATTATTTTAGGATTTTATTCTGGATTCGTCGAATGTTTATGAGAGTGGTGAAATTATTATAAGAGTGGTGAAATACGAACCATTATATGAACACCTTTTTTTACTATTGGTATTGGTGTGCGCTTCGGTTTCCGCATTTAGACTCAAGAGTACTGTGTGTCCTTTCAGAAGCGCAGAAGCCTCCTGGGGCGTTCACAGGCTTCTAGGAGCGATTTTGTATCGGGAATGATACTTGCCCGTTGTGTGGCCACTCCCTAGGATTACAGCATTACGTGGGCGGCCGTTTTTTCTGCTTCCAGACATCCCCTGCACAGAGGGCTGTCCGTCCCATTGATGATGAATAGGATCAGGGCTAGGTGTCCTTTTTTTTTACTATTTTCTACTTTAATGTTATGTTTACCTTTGCCTTGTTGACCTCTTCACAATTAGACGAATTAGTATTACGCTTAACACTATAGTTCGAAATAAAATGTTTAAGTTAAACGACAGTGGCAATAGCACAAAAAGTAAATTTGTTTATTGGAATAAAACGAAATTGTAATATTCTATATAATTTATATTCATAATTAAACAGTGTGTTCCCACTTCAGCATTACATTCGTATGATAGAACTTACATTCTAGTTTGTTAGCGCAATTGTTGCCGTAACGACACGGCTTCGGGTGGTAGAAGTGGCACGCTGGGTTCATGCAGTACGGGTGGAACTTGCACGGGTTTGGTATAATGATGTCTGATTTCGACTTGAAGTTTGCTGCTGGGACTACGTGAGAAGCTGCAATATAAGACGAAGGCGTCAACACGGGTGCAGATGGCGAGTGCCAGTACATGCAGTTGCGGCGCATGCAGGCAGCGAGGGTGCGCGAAGGCGCAGACCGAGCCTTAGCGGCACGCCGGGAACAGACGACACCATACCAGCTTGCGCTGCGCCGCTGACACTGCCACGAATAACATTTCATTAGTACTCCCCGCTCGACTCAGTAGTATTATCCTTTACTACATGTAAATGTATCTAATGAAGTGAGAAACATATATGTATTGACAAAATCAACAAGAAATGTATGAAACGATACATGTTTCAAGATATCTTTGCTCGTGAACTGATCAATAATTCTATTCAAGATTTTTTTGAATTGGTTACATTATACAGATGCTTCAAAGTAAATTATAAACTACCTGTAATCTTAAACCTATAAGCGTCTGGTGAAGACATGAGAACTTTTTAGATACTTACAAGATGGTACCATATTTGTTTGGTTATCATATTTGTTTGTATTTGTGACTGTTCTTTTTCTAACTCTGAAACTAAAAATGTGGCATTCCAATTAAGGGATCTTTGATGAGCACTACATTAAAAACAAAAAAGATCCTATAAGGGAAGAATTGTAACTAATGTATGTCAATTTTAAAATACGGCAATGAAAGATCTACAAACAAAGTATATTTATTCTTTATTATTTGTCCTGAATATTATTGACTAAAATTTCATTCAGTAATTTATTGGCAGATCCAGTTACTACTGATGTTCTCCTGTTAATCTAAATCATAAATGCTATTTCTTCATCTAATTCATCGCTTGGACTTTGGCAGGCCATTAAAGAATACCAAGAGTCGAGGCAATAATTTGTGGATCACACAAAGTGATGTCCCATGTGGGGATCGAACCCACAACACTTAGCGCAGTATGGAGATAGTATACGTACGATGTAATATACGTAGGTACGAGTATATAGTTATAATTGTGTATACCAAACATTCGAGTGCAAAACGTGTAGACGTAGATTGGTGAACTGATCCAATCACGTTTAGATGACCATACCGATTTATATACGAAATATACAAACAAAGAACTTCATCGTCTATGACTTCCAATGTGGTTTTTAGCGAGTATACAATTAATATTTATTTATTTTTTATTCTTTTTCCACCTTTTATTTCTTATTTGTTGCAGTTTGTTAAGCGAGTTAAGCGCTCTGCTAAATTTCACTAAATTTTCAAGTTTGCACAGATTTTTGAAAAACAGAACTATATTTTCATTTTATGGTATAGCGGTAGTATACGGGTCAGCTGATAGTAAGTGACTACCGCCCCTAGACATTTACAACTCAAGAGTGTATACAATCCTCCTTTTTTTTTCCCTCTGATACCACCTGTCGGTGGCATGTCGGACTCGAACTGACTAAAACCGCACGCCGTCTCGGAAATAAACCCTAGAAAGGAAGTCCCTGGGGCCCCGACATACCTCGGGTCATCTACACCCCCCCGTGTGGGAACCCCATGTTCCCTGTGCTCCCTGGAAGCGAGCGCGCTTGGCAACGCGCTCGCCGCCACCCCGGCCTGCTTCTGCTAGGGGTGACAGATGGCCTCACCTGTCACCCCCAGGCCTGCGCTTATGGAGGACGGAGGTCGTTCTGCGACCTCCGGCGCCTGAGTCGCCTGTGGTACCTGGCCTGTTCCCGGGCCTGGCGGGCCGGAAGAGTCCTAAACCTCTCCCGGTCCCGCTCCGCCGTCTTCTTCGCGAGCATAACTTGCTCGCAGAAGGAGACGGCAGATTTCCACTCACTCTCGCTCCGCACGATAGCCGCTATCAGGCTATCGAGCGAGAGAACTCCCACTCCGATGGCCGCCACGAGGTCTCGCCTCTGCTCAACCCACGCCGGGCACTCTGCCAGCGTGTGGAGAGTCGTGTCCACGGTCTGGCCATCGCAGTGGTGGCACTCAGGCGTTGGCTCCTTGCGGATCAGACACAGGTGATCCCCGAAACATCCTTTCCCAGTGATCACCTGCGTCAGTCGGTATGAGAGGGTCCCGTGACGCCTCTCGAGCCAATCCTCTATAACGGGTCTTACCGCCGTGATGACGGCGTGCCCGAGTTATACAATCCTCCTAATACAATCCCTCCCCTAGAAATAGAATAATATAACCTACTTTTCACTTTTATCATCACCACTGTCCATATCTCCCCCAAGACTAATGCTATCACCAGTCTCTTGTGAGTTGTCAGCAGCTACTTGGATGGTATTCTTTTGAGGTTCGACTGATCGTCGCATCGGCAGCACAAGAGCGCACCTCACTTGCGAGTCTTTATCCGCGTTTGTACTGGGCGTCTGAAAATAGAATTGCGATTACATGTAACCATGTCGTGTTGTTAAAGAAATTTGGATTAGTTTTGGTATTTATTTTTTAACAAATAACAATTACTAATCTGTAACAAATATGTGTGTATATACAATTTTAATTGTATTAAACTAACTTTAGTACTAACAATTTTTTTGGGTTTTTTCCTAATTAAGGGACTGCTGTTTTGTAAAATCAGGACAAATATCACAATAATTAATAAATTATTTAACCAAATCAGTTTCTGCTTAAATGGTGATGTCAGAACTGTGGGTGACTTAACAGACAGATGTATCGTTGAGGAGTTTGTTCCACCGCTTCTTCTTTCCAGCTAAGACACTAGGAAGTTGTGAGGGGTTGTTCGTTTTTGGATGACTGTCTTTATGTAAACAATGACGTTCAAAAAGCTGGTACTCAGCGTAATTTGAATAGGTAACTATATTTTCTGACGATATGTTCTCTGGCAGATTTCTTCGTTATGCCTCAGATACAGAGGATCAATCATTAAAAAAGATGACTATTGAGATTTTTTTGCTTATTGATATTTTTCAGGAATAAAATTAACACATTTCTAAGTTTACTTCTTTAAGTAAATTGTTTTGGAAATTCAATTTTGGTGACACTTCTATTATTTTGAAACCCAATACAATTATTTGATGACCGATATTATTTCGTAGTAATTCCTAATTAATATTTAAGTTACTGTTTTGATATTATTTGGTGATTCAATTTGGGTGACAGATCTACTATTTCAGGAACAAATATTATTTATTGGACCATTGAAATTATATCAATTCATTTTGTCATCATACCCATTTGAATAAATGTCTTTTGATTTGGAGAAGTAGTGTATTGAAAAGTAAGCAAGCAAGCCACTTACATTCAACAAGCTCTTGTGCGCGTCGGCGACGGCGCGCAGCAGTAGGCTGGAGGCGGGCGCACGCACGCGCGGCCGCAGCCGCACGCGCTCCACGCTCGCACACTTCAACCGGCTTGAACGCCCTTCTAACATGGATACCCTGGCAAACAACGCGAGTGTTACACAATAATCCGAAATATGCCTTACGCTGGAGCTGAATAATTAATTGTTGTGTGTAATTGTAAATTCACTTAGAAAACTATAAAAGTTGAAATGTAATTTATATCACGTGACTGCACACACCAATCGGATTGGATAAATCTATATCTATACAAATAAATAAAATAACCGCTTTTTACTAAATGCATATGTATGTTTACACGGTACATATGCCAAAATAACATTTTTTACAATTTTTGTCTATCTGTCTGTCTGTTTGTTCCGGGTAATCTCTGGAACGACTGGACGGATTTCGACGGGACTTTCACTGGCAGATAGCTGATGACATAAAACTTAGGCTTTTTTTTTTGGACAGTGTTATGATCAAAGATGACGAAAATAGCTATTAATAATACTAAGATTATCTGTAATTCTTGAAGGCTTTAATAAGACCGAATAATGTATCCGTGTGGTGACGGATTAGGAATATGGAGGGCCAGAAAATGTCAGACAAGTTTTGATGGGAAAACTTTAAAAAATGCCAATCCAACCTCCAAAGTGACGAAAGTGAACGTTCTGATTCAGCAATATCAGGAATAGACATGATTTCAGATTCTGATTTATCCACTTTTTTCTTAAACGGCGACTACACGATATACACCTTCATTGCTGCTTATAATATCTAAGAAATAACCTTAGACTGCTAACGAATGTATCTACGTAGAGTGGGTTCTTAGACTGGAGGATTGTGAATAGTCGACAGTGCGTATAAAACACAACTGTTGTGTTCCGTCCAGCAGTGCTAATAACATACACGTTATGTTACCGACAAGCCTGCCGTAACAGCAATTCGTGAAAACATACGTTTGAGTGTATAAATGTTTTTTGTTTAATTTTCGTTTATTTTTTCCAGTATGTGTTCTACGAATATTTAAAACTAATTTATCTTTAAAATATAATATTAATTACAAATAAAACATCGAAGGTCTGTCTGCAGTTAATATAAACTTGTCAGATATACAGGGTTACTGGGTAAGTCGACCTTAATACTTTAAGAAGTTGTAGTTAATTACCATCTAATCTATTGTTCTTTTTTATGTACAAATTACATCTTTTTTTTTGGTAAATAAAGATTATTATTTTATATTGTAATAAAAAATAATTATCTAATTTGACGACTTTAGAGAAATTATTTTAAAATCAATTAGAAACACGTTTGCTTATTAATATTTTGTATTGTTAAAATTTTTTTTTCTTAATGGTAACGCGGGGTTTTAAACGTATACCTTTTTTTTTTTAACGTGTGGAAATCCCCTCGGGCCGTCACCCCACCGGGGTTTGCGGCGGGGTGGTGTGTCGGACTCGGACCGACTAAAACCACACGGTGTGCCACTCTGCGCCTGTAATAGGAGGGATCCGGGAACAGCTGTTATTAAGACATCCGGACCCCTCCTAGCGCCGGCCTGCTCCTGTTGCGGGCTCCGTCTCAAAAATTATTTCCTCTCTTTAGGCGACGTCCGGCACACGCGGACGCCGCCCCCTCGCGGCTGGCCAAACTAATGCGGGTGGAGGGGAAACCCACCCCGTCCACCCGCGGCCACACTCAGGACGGTATGAGGCGGTCATAGGCGCGCCTCCGCTGCCCGGTTCGCCGGCGGCGGATCGGGTCCGAGTGGAGGTCGTCCTCCCGGGCCTTCTCTGCCGCCTCCTTCTGCGAGATTACTTCCTCGCAGAAGGTTGCGACCGCGGTAAAACAACTGTCGCTACCGGCCATGGAGCGTACTACGGCCGGTAGCGAGAGATCCACTCCGATGACTGCAGTGAGGGCCCGGCGCTGCGTCGCCCATGCGGGGCAGACCACCAGCGTGTGCTGGGCCGAGTCGCAGTGATGGCAGGCGGGACTCAGTTCCCTCCTAGCGACCGAGTGCAGGTACTTTCCGAAGCAACCGTGCCCGGAAAGCACCTGCGTCAGCCGGAAGGTAAGGGTCCCGTGCTGCCGCCCTGCCCACTCGGCGATGACCGGCTGGACAGCCTCCACGGCGGCGAAGCCAGCGCGTGGAGTCTCCAGCCGGAACGACCAACGAGCCATCGTGGCTCGGCGAGCGGCTTCGCGCCACTCGCGCACGTCTTCGGGCGGAGGGCGAAATCCGCTCTCCGCCCTGGAGTCAGCCACTCGCCGATAAACTTCGGCGAGCACTTCCGCCTCCAAATCCCACGGGGGAGTTCCGGCCAACGCGCACGCCACCTCCGTCGAAACGGTGCGGTAACCGCGTATGGCTCTGACCGCCATTACCCTCTGAGGGCGCCAGAGGCGTGCCCTATTTTGGGCGGTCAGAGCCGCCACCCACACCGGTGCACCGTATAGTGCCATTGACCGGACAACCCCCGTGTACAGCCGTCTTGTCGCGACGCTGGGTCCACCCAAATTGGGCAAAAGTCGCCCTAGGGCAGACGCAGCGCCGACCAGCTTTGGAGCAAGCTGTTGGAAGTGCTCGTCGAAGAGCCACCTCCCGTCGAGGATCAGGCCCAGATATTTCATCTGGGCCCGAACCGGTACGAGGACCGAGTTAACCACGATTGAGGCGCCAGGGGGTGGACCACGACGGGGCCCATGAAATAACAGGGCCTCCGTCTTATTTAGGGCCACCCGTAAGCCCAGCGCCTCAATACGCCCGACCACCAGGGAGACTCCCCTTGTGGCCAGGCGAGCCGCCTCTTGGAAGTTCGCCCCCCGGGCTGTCACCAGAGTGTCAACTGCGTAAGAAATTACACCCAGCCCGGGGGGGAAATCGGCTCGAAGGGCCCAGTCGTACCCTATGTTCCACAAGAGTCCAAGAACAGACCCCTGTGGAACACCGCACGACATGGGCCGACACCTCAAATTACCCTCTCGGTCCTCGTACACGACGGTACGCTCCTCTAAATAGTCTGCCACTAGCCGCCTCAGGTACTTTGGCACCCCATGATAGTGGAGTGCTTCCCTGATGCAGCTGAATGGCAGACTATTGAATGCATTGGCGATGTCCAATGACACCGCCAACAGCATGCCGCCACAGCTCACGGCCTCTTCGGTCACGGCCCTCAGGCGCAACACAGCGTCGACTGTCGAACGCCCCGCCCGAAAACCAAATTGGGCGTCCGACAGATCGGGGCCCACCTCGTAGAGGTGCCGGACGATGCGGGCAGAGAGAACCCTCTCAAACAATTTACCCGCCTCGTCCAGCAGCACGATGGGCCTGTAGGCCGCGACCGAATCGGCAGGCCGTCCCGGCTTCCTTAATAGGACCAGCTTCCCGCTCTTCCAGCACTCAAGGAAACGTCCCGACGCCAAGCTAGCGTCGAACACCTCCCCGAGGCGGTCTGCCATGTGGTTGAGGGCTAGGGCCAGCACTCGGGCCGGTACCCCGTCTGGCCCAGGGGCGGTGGTTTAAACGTATACCTTGCCACAACCCTTTATACAAGATAATAAAATTTCATTGTTTGCGTCAATCAGATAAAGAAAACTATGAAAGGGCAACATACGTTTGTGTATAATATTTTTTTGTTTTTCGTTTATTTTGTCTAATACTTCAAACTTGAAAAGAAACATTTTGGAAAATCCGTACTCACACTCAATTGACCATGTTTTTGATATTTTTTCTATTTTACAAAAATACTTTGTTATTGGCCGGACTTTATTTCATACAAACAATAGTTTAGTTTAGTATTTGCTAAGAGTGACTGACTGAGTTTTCTGATTTAACTTTGTATGTTTACCAATTCAGAAATTCTTCAGTAAGTAAACAGTTAATATAATATTAAGAAAAAAAAACAAGGACTCTTGAAGTAGCAACTTTAGAATTTCTTAGAAGAAGTCTATCTGTAGGTATTTCTATCATTTATAAGTTCTATATTGTTATAATTAGAAATTCAAAAAAAAAGGTTGATAACCAACATTTTCAACTCAATAATTACTTTAGTAGTATAAACTGCCACACATTTATAATTTATAAGTACACTTTAAAAAATTACTGATGTTTTTGCATGAGAGTTAAATCACTAGTAACAAATAATAAAAAATGTAAGTTAGTCAAAAGTAACAAGACAAACATAATTTACTTACCCTTCAGTCTTATCAAATATTCCCGAAAGTACATCTTCTAAATTATCGTTGGCGGACATGGTGCTATCCACTGACACGTCACGTCTACGCTGTGCGAAATCCAAAAAACAGACTGATTTATATAGATAGAAGTCCCTAAGTCTGTCAAAAGAAAAAAAATGTACGTCTTAGTCATAAAACTAAGTACGTAAAAAAAACTTGTACCCAAAATTCTTCATGTGAGTTCTTTATACAGCTCGCTCTATTGTTTGCTTTCTAATTATTTTGTAAATATTTAGAAAAAGTCCCTATCATTGTTTTCGTTATCTGTTTGATGAAAACAATGAAATGGCCACAAAGGGTTGTGGTTATACGTTTTAAAACCTTTAAGACGTTACCTTTAAGATAAGAAAAATTTATAACAATACAAAATATTAATAAGCACACGTGTGCCTAACTGCTTTTCATACAATGCCTCTAAATTGATCATTTTTTTTTTAATTTCAATAAAAATATCTTGTAAGTTTATATTAAATGCAGACCTGAATATTTTAAAGATAAATTATTTTCATATTTATATAGAAAATATATTAAAAAATAAACGAAAATAAAAAACATTTATACACTCAAACGTATGTTTCACGCCTTGCCGTTACGCCACACAACAGTTGTGTTTTCAGCACTCTCGTACGGAACACAAGGGGCTGTGGTTTAAGCACGCTCATCGGTTATTAGGACTGTTGTGTTGTTGTAGTTAATTAGTTGTTAATCGAGAAAATACCGGTGTTTTTTCAGCACCGGAGAACATTTCTAGAAACACAAGGTATGTATTATACAACAGTAAAGGCGATAATTACATAACTATAAATAGTTATAATATTAGTAGTAAAGAAATAAACGAAAATAAAAAAGTAAACGCATTTCACGCATTGCCGTTACGTCACACAACAGTTGTGTTTTCAGCACTCTCGTACGGGACACAAGCATTGGATTACGGCACGCTCTGCGGGAACACAACGTGTTTGTTATTAGCACTGATGTACGGAACACAACAGTTGTGTGGCCAGCAATTGTGGATTGAAAAAATAGCGGTGAATTTTTCAGCACTTGAGAAAGTTTCTATAAAAACAATATTAACTAGTTTATCGTTTCATACTAATAAATAATGATAGATTATTGCTAAACGACATTGATTTTCTTAATTTACTATACAAAACCCATTTAGTCAAATTCAGAACCTACTCCCTTTTTACCCCATAATATAAAATGCTTAACAGCCAGTGCACTAGAAAATAAAATAAATTTATACTCTTTATGAGAAGCTGAAATAAGTGTCACGGGTATTTGCAAAAATAAAAGTTTGGAATTTTCTGTAAGTCTGTTACTTAAGTTAAAAACAAATTCAGATCCTTTTTCCAGTAAAAGCTTTTTTTAACTTTTTTTATAGAAGAGCGAACGAGAAGACTACCTGTTTTCTCATACCATCTTAATTAAAACAACATGTTGTTAATAAATTATTGAATATTATCTAATGACTTCTAAGAACCGAATGATCAAGTGCTCATTATGGTAATCATCACATTAGGGATCTTAACTGGTAATCTCTAAAATAAAGGTATGCGTTAAATTTAGTAATTTATGCAGAAATACCTTAATATGGGTAATTCGAAGAAATTGTATCCTCATTAGTCAATAAAAATTAACTACTACAGTTCGTTTTGAACATTCTAATGCTATTTGTAAGCGAAAGAAAAAAGTAAGGAAAACTAGGCTGAGGAAAGCGGTCACACCGAAGGAGCCGATGCGATATAAGAGATCAAAAAAACTTTACCGTATTATAAATACCGGGAAGAAAGTGCAAAAGACCACGTCAAAAGGCACGTGAAATGTATGAAAGATGAAGAGAGGAGAGTGTTGGTTAAAGATAGAATACAAAAGAGCGATAGAAAACTTACTTTGATAAACTTATGAATGAAGAGAATGAATATAGTGCTGAAAGATGTGGATGTGAATGTCGGACCGGTGAACGACATTAGTATAAATGAAGATTGGCGGTATAAAGTATGAAATATGGGAAAACAGTTGGCCCCGACGATATACCAGTGGAAGTTTGGAGATTACTAAAAGAAGAAGAATATGAGTGGCTGACTTTATTCTTCAACAGGTTGTTGCATAAAAAGGTAATCCCAAAGAAATAGTGTCAAATGCAACTCGCCCGGTTTCGGTGCGGCAATAAGTTGCGGCCAAAAGCAACAAAAGAACTGCTTAACACAGGTTTTCTGTTGGGCCGTAGTATCACTCCGGTCGAACCTGGCCCCTTAGATTATTTATATAAATAATTAAAGCCTGGTCCATATGTTCTGAAGCATGGCGCTCCCACGACTAACTCATCTTGTTACTTGTGTTTTACAATGTTTTACGCATAAATAATTTTGTATTTGTTTTCTTTTTACTTGTAACTACACACACATTGTTTTATCTCAGAGGCAATTTTTAGGTATAGAACTTCCTTTTGTCGACTTTAATTATATAAATTAGTGACACAGGAAAGAAATTATGTTCGATTCAGATCTTACTAATGTCGTATTACAGAAAGATTCTCAAAACTCAAGTAACGCTGGAGCGTAGTTTTATAAGGCGAAATATAACCTAAAAGTTTTGAGTATAATTTTGTAACGACCCTTACATTTATTTATTTATGGATGGTTAATGATTATTGAACTACATTCTGTACCCCTATTTTACCATTTTAACCACCCAAAAAACTACGTGTGATCTTAGGTTGATTAACTTCAACTATGAGAAAACGCGTATAGTCCGTTTAAATTACCACATCGCCCTGCCTTTTGTGGTTGATTTAGACAGATGAATTTCTAGTACTTAGTAGAAAAAAAAACAAAGGCAGGTTACTAGGTTTCGTATCAGGTGAAAAACCTATTTCGGTTGGACACTACTAATTATTTTAGGATTTTATTGTGGATTCGTCAAATGTTTATGGCAGAAGTTGTGTTAAATGAGAGGTGAAATACGAACCATTATATGAACATTTTTTTTACTATTTTCAAATTTAATGTTATATTTACCTATGCCTTGTTAACCTCTTAACAATTAGACGAATTGTATTACGCTTAACACTATAGTTCTACTCGTAAATAAAATGTTTAGGCTAAACGACAGTGGCAAAAGCATAAAAAGTAAATTTGTTTATTGGAATAAAACGAAATTGTAATATTCTATATAATTTATATTCATAATTAAACAGTGTATTTCCACTTCGGCGTTACATCCGCATGATAGAACTTACATTCTAGTTTGTTCGCGCAATTGTTGCCGTAACGACACGGCTTCGGGTGGTAGAAGTGACACGCTGGGTTCAAGCAGTTCGGGTGGAACTTGCACACGTTTGGTACTATAGCTGATTTTGACCTGAATTTTGCTGCTGGGACTACGTGAGAAGTTGCAATATAAGACGAAGGCATCAACACGGGTGCGGAGGGCGAGTGCGAGTACACGCAGTTGCGGCGCATGCAGGCAGCGAGGAACTTGCAGCGCGGGTGCGCGAAGGCGCAGGCCGAGCCGTAGCGGCACGCCGGGAATAGACGACACCATACCAGCTTGCGCTGCGCCGCTGACACTGCCACGAATAAAATTTCATTAGTACACTCCGCTCGACTCAGTATCCGTAGTATTATCCTTTACTACATGTAAATGTTTCTTATGAAGTGAGAAACATATATTGACAAAATCAACAAGAAATGTATAAAAAGATACACGATACATGTTTCAAGATATCTTAGCTCGTGAACTGATCAATAATTCTGTTCAGGATTATTTTAATATTGGTAACATTATACAGATGCTTGAAAGTAAATTATAAACTACCTGTAATCTAAAACCTATAAGCGTCTGGTGAAGATATGAGATCTTTTTAGATACTTACAAGATGGCACCGAATCATATTTGTTTGTATTTGTGACTGTTCTTTTTCTAACTCTATCTGTCTCTTTCACTTCCTTATCAACATCGCATACTATCGGTGATCGCTTTCTCTTCTTCACAACCGGCGAATCTAATACTTCAAGACTTTTTCTCTTCGCTTTTTTCTCAACTTCCTGTTTAATTATAACTTGTGTTTCACTCTCTTCGCTTGTATTACTTAAGCGTCGCATTTGCGTGTCTAGAACTTTCTTTGTGGCTTTAACGGGTTCTTTCTCCTTAGGTTTGAGCTCTTTACTTTCAGGTGGCATTATTTTGTTATTATTTGTCTTGCTTATTTCATCTTCATCATTTAAGAGGCCTTCATGTCTGTAATTTCTTAGCTAGAAAGGCATTTAGATGGTAGCCATCCATAGTGACTATGAATTGATTATTTTTGTCCTTGAAGTCTGAGGTGTTGTGGATGTTTCTGCAAATAATATTAAAACAAAAATAATGTTAGAACACCGTTATACAATTTGCATAGCAATTTCAGTGTTTTGCGTTTGAACGACCAAGTTACCCCTTAATTACCTCTTATTTTCAAGGGACAATTTGAGAAGAAAGTAATGTGGATTGAAAGTAAATTGGATAACTTACCATTTTATCATGGCGATAGTTTTAAAATTAACGCATCATAATTCATGTAATAGCTATAATTTCGGCGCAAAATCTTAAGCTTGTATGGTTTTTAAAATATCGCGATAAATATAAGGGGGCTTTTGAAAGCTAAAAATGTAGCAATCCAATTAATGATTCTTTGATGAGCACTTCATTAAAAACAAAGAAGATCCTGTCAAGGAAGAATTGTAACTATTGTGTGTCAATTTTAAAATACGGCTATGTAATATCTACAAACAATGCGTATTTATTCTTTATTATTTGTACTGAATATTATTGACTGAAATTTCATTCAACGATAAATGAGATCCAGTTACTACTGATATTCTTCTGTTTACTGAAATCATAAAAGCTATTTCTTCATCCAATTAATAGCTTGGACTTTAGCAGGCCATTAAAGAATACCCAGAATGAGGACAAATATTTGCGGATCACACAAAGTGATGTCCCATGTTCTCCACCTTTTATTTCCTATTTATTGCAGTTTGTTAAGTGAGTTAAGCGCTCTGCTAAATTTCACTCAATTTTTAAGTTTGCACAGATTTTTGAAGAGCAGAACTATATGTTCGTTGACGTATGTCAGCTGATGGTGACTACCGCTCATGGACACCTACAACTCGAGAGTCACACGCTGCCCATTCAATACCCTCCCTCGGCCGGAAATAGAATAATATAACTTACTTTTCACTTTTATCATCACCACTGTCTGTATCTCTTCCAAGACTAATGCTGTCACCAGTCTCTTGCGAGTTGTCAGCAGCTAATTGGATGGTAAGTTTTTGAGGTTCGACTGATCGTCGCATCGGTAGCACAAAAGCGCGCTTCGCTTGCGAGTCTTTAACCGCGTTTGTACTGGGCATCTGAAAATAGAATTGCGATTGCATATAACCATGTAGTGCTGTCAAAGAAGTTAGGATTAGTTTTGGTATTTATTTTTTAACAAATACCAAACTAATCTGTAACAAACATGTGAATAAAATACTATGAAGTTATTAAAGCAAAGAATCAATTGAAATTGTATTAAACTAACACACACATACTCCGGGGCACATTCAAATACTCCGAAATATCTTATTTGATTTTCAAAATTCCGAATTTCATAATACCTAACAATTATAATGTATATTATTAAATTTCACGAAGTTTATTGTACCGAAAGTCGTAAATGCAATTTTTAAATGGTGATCTCAGAACTGTGGGTGACTTAACAGACAGATGAGTTTGTTCCACCGCTTCTTCTTCCCATTTAAAACACTAGGAAGTTGTGAGGGGTTGTTCGTTTTTTGAGGACTGTCTTTATGTAAACAATGACGTTCAAAAAGCTGGTACTCAGCGTAATTTGAATAGGTAACTATATTTTCTGACGATATGTTCTCTGGCAGATTTCTTCGTTATGCCTCAGAGACAGAGGATCAATCATTAAAAAAGATGACTGTTGAGATTTTTTTGCTTATTGATATTTTTCAGGAATAAAATTAACACATTTCTAAGTTTACTTCTTTAAGTAAATTGTTTTGGAAATTCAATTTTGGTGACACTTCTATTATTTTGAAACCCAATACAATTATTTGATGACTGATATTATTTCGTAGTAATTCCTAATTAATTTTTAAGTTACTGCTTTGATATTATTTGGTGATTCAATTTGGGTGACAGATCTACTATTTCAGGGACAAATATTATTTATTTGACCATTGAAAATATGTACCTACATTCATTTAGTCATCATACCCATTTGAATAAATGTCTTTTGATTTGGAGAAGTAGTGTATTGAAAAGTAAGCAAGCAAGCCACTTACATTCAACAAGCTCTTGTGCGCGTCGGCGACGGCGCGCAGCAGTAGGCTGGAGGCGGGCGCACGCACGCGCGGCCGCAGCCGCACGCGCTCCACGCTCGCACACATCAACCGGCTTGAACGCCCTTCTAACATGGATACCCTGGCAAACAACGCGAGTGTTACACAATAATCCGAAATATGCCTTACGCTGGAGCTGAATAATTAATTGTTGTGTGTATTTGTAAATTCATTTAGAAAACTATAAAAGTTGAAATGTAATTTATATCACGTGACTGCACATACCAATCGAATTGGTTACGTAAATAACCAATAAACAACCTGACAAATGTAGTTTCTTATGATGATACACAGACCTAAGATTATCTGTCATTCTTGAAGGCTTTAATAAGACTAAATAATGTATCCTTGTGGTGACGGATAAGGAATATGGAGTGACACCAACTTTATATAATCGCGTGAGTGTCGTAAGAGCTGAATAAGGGATCAAACTAAGCAGGACAACAGCACTTTAAAGAGAAGGAAAACTTTTGAAAAAGAATTTTTATTGATTTTAATGATTTTATCTTTGTCTAGGACGAAATCACAATCACATGTGAAGTCGCTGTGACTAAAACCAATAATTTCATCAAATAAATATGATTTAAAAGTATCAATAATTTCATTGTCTATTAAGCACTCAATAAGTATTTTATTCTTAATTACCCTAACCTCACTTACGATAATTAAGATCATTTTGAATATAGTCGGGTTTTGTGTCCATCTAGACCTTTAATGCACGTCATTTAAGTGCACCTGTGGATAACTGTTTAACGATGTTTCTTTGCAGTTTAACAGCACTAACAATAATGTAAAGTTTCACAATTACGTGATTGTAGTACGAGTACTACCATACTATTGACGAAAGTGAGCGTTCTGATTCTGCAATGTCAGGAATAGACATGCTTTCAGATTCTGAGTTATCAATTTTTTTCACTATATGATATACACCTTCATTGCTGGTCATAATATATAAGAAATAACCTTAGACTACTAACGCATGTACGTAGAGTTTTCAGACTGGAGTATTGTGAATAGTCGACAGTACGTATAAAACACAACTGTTGTGTTCCGTACAGCAGTGCTATAATAACACACACGTATGTTCCCGACAAGCGTGCCATAACCTACACGCGTTGTGTTGTGTGCCATAAAAAAAAACTTTTGTGTGGCGTAACAGTAATGCGTGAAAACATACGGTTTTTTTAAATTTTATTTTCGTTTTTTCAGTAATTATGTTTGAAACTAATTTATCTTTAAAATATAATATTAATTACGAATAAAGTATCGAGGGTCTGTCTGCACTTAAAATAAACTTTTGCGATATTTTTATTGAAATATAAAAAAAGACAATGTGACGATTTTAGATAAATTACCTAAAATCAATTAGGCTTTTGACGTGGGGTTTTAAACATATACCTTACCACAGCCCTTTGTGGGCGTGAAAGGGAAACATACGTATTAGCGTATAACTTTGTTTATTTTCTTTTATTTTGTCCAATTACATATTTTATGACAAACTTGAAAAGAAATATTTTGGAAAATCCTAATTCACACTCAATTAACTATGTTTTTGATATTTTTTCTATATTACAAAAATAATTTGTTATTCGTTGGACTTTATTTCTTACAAATAATAATAATATTGGTTTTGTGATTTAACTTTGTATTTTTACAAACAGAAAGTCTTCAGTCGGTTTAGTTATTACAATATTAAGAAAAGAAAACAAGGATTCCTGAAGTAGCTACTTTAGGTTGTCTTTTAGAAGCGGTCTATCTGTAGGTGTTTCTATCAATTATAAGTTCTATATTGCTATAATTAGAAATTTAAAAATAAGGTTGATAAGCAACATTTTCAACTCAATAATAACTTTAGTAGTATAAACTGCCACACATTTATAATTTATAAGTACACTTTCGAAAATGACTGATGTTTTTGCATGAGAGTTAAATCACTAGTAAAAAATGAAAAAAAAAATTAAGTTAGTCAAAAGTAACAAGACAAACATAATTTACTTACCCTTCAGTCTTAGCAAATATTCCCGAAAATACATCTTCCAAATGATCGTTGGCGGACATGGTGCTATCCACTGACACGTCACGTCTACACTGTGCGAAATCCAAAAACAGACTGATTTATATAGATAGAAGTCTCTATTAAGTCTGTCAAAAGAAAAAAAATGTACGTCTTAGTCATAAAAGTAAGTACGTAGAAAAAAACTTGTACCCAAAATTCTTCATGTGAGTTCTTTATACAGCTCACTCTATTGTTTGCTTCCTAATTATTTTGTAAATATTTAGAAAAAGTCCCTATCATTGTTTTCGTTATCTGTTTGATGAAAACAATGAAATGGCTCACAAAGGGTTGTGGTTATACGTTTTAAACACCACGTTACCATTAAGATAAGAAAAATTTATAACAATACAAAATATTAATAAGCATACGTGTGCCTAAATTGCTTTTCATACAATGCCTCCTAAATTGTTTTTTTTTTATATTTCAATAAAAATATTTTGAAATTTTATATTAAACTAGCTGACCCGCGCAACTTCGTCTGCGTCCCTCAATAGTAATTAATTTTCTCCGTTTTTGAAACATTCTTCATTAGTGCTCCGCTCCTATTAGTCTTAGCGTGATGATATATAGCCTATAGCCTTCCTCGATAAATGGGCTATCTAACACTGAAAGAATTTTTCAAATCGGACCAGGAGTTCCTGAGATTAGCGCGTTCAAACAAACAAACAAACAAACAAACAAACAAACTCTTCAGCTTTATAATATTAGTATAGATGCAGACTTCGGCGTTATTTTCGTAATTAATGTTATATTTTAGAAATAAATTATTTTCAAATATTCGTAGACTACATTTTGGAAAAATAAATGAAAATAAAAAAAAACATTTATATACTCAAAAGTATGTTTCACGCCTTGCCGTTACGCCACACAACAGTTGTGTTTTCAGCACTCTCGTACGAAACACAAGGAGTGTGGGTTCCAGCAAGCTCATTGTGAACACATGTATGTTATTAGCACTGTTGTGTGGCCAACAGTTGTTGATCGAGAAAATACCGGTGTTTTTTCAGCACCGAAGAATATTCCTATAAAAAACGAAAGATTATACAACAGTGAAGGCGAAAATTACATCATTAAAAATAGTTATAATATAAGTAGCTAGTAAATATCGATTATCGTTAAACGACCTTGATTTTCTTAATGTATAATACATACAAAACCCACAAAACCCATTTAAGTAGTCAAATATAGAACCTACTCCCTTTTTACACCATAATGAAAAATGACCAATAACCAGTGCAGTATAAATTTATAGGCACTCTTGTTTTATGAGGGGTTTAATTAAATGACAAAGGTATTTGCATCAAGCAAAGGTTGGAATTTTCTGTGAGTCTACTACTTATGTTATTTGTATTGCAAGATCTCGGGACATTTTTAAGGCTAATAACCGACAAACAAGAATATTATGAATTCGGTGGCGTGGCAGAGCGAAGATGTGTGTGTGCAGTAGCGCCCGCGCTCGCAGCAAACTCTAGAAATAGTATGGCATATTCATCATGACTGAGCGACTGACTGAGAAACCAAATAGAATGTCATATTCTCTATGGTTTCTTATCATTGTTGCCGTCGATAATTTGTGATTAATATTGAAGAATTAATCGTATTCCTACAACCTCTAATTAGTCTTCCTCAAGCAAATTAAAATATAACTACTATCGTAATGACATGACGTTGTCCCTTCGTAGCTACAGTGACTTGACTGACTAGACTTGATAGTACAGTACTGGACTGGTTTTGAGCTCTCACAGCTTACATCTCTGCTACATACAGCTCACTTCTCCTCTCCGCTTCATCATCTTCATCTTCTCTCCGTTTTGATGGAAATACCCTCCCAGCTTCGGCTTCGGAGCTCATCTCCTCTCGTCTCGTCTCCTCTCTGCTTTGGGGGATACCGGGCCTAACACGAATACCCTTTTTTTTTAAAGAAGTTTACTTAGAAATGTATTTATTATCCCTTATTTGTTTTTTGTTCTGATTCTCTCGGATACCACCTACCGGTGGCTATGTCGAACTCGAACCGATTAAAACCGCACGCCGTCTCGGATCTCTCTCTAGATAGAAAATCCCTTCCCTGGAAATAACAATTGTCAAAAAAATCGAAACAGTCATCAATGGTTGATTCTCTATCTGAGGCATAACGAAGAAATCTGCCAGAGAACAAATCAATAAAAAATATAGTTACCTAGTCAAATTACGCTGAGTACAACTTCCTGGTATTTTATCCGGGAAGTAGAAGTGGTGGAAAGTGGTGGTGTTAAGTTACCTACTGTTCTGACAACACCATTTAAGAAAAAACTGATTTTAAATAAATTAATACTTATTCTGATAGTTGTCCTTAGTAAATCGGAAAACAAACAAATTGCATTTACGACTCTCGGTAATATAAATTTCGTGAACTTTAATAATAGATATTATAATTCTTAGGTATTATGAAATTCTGACTTTTGAAAATCAGATAATCGAATTTCGGAATAAGATATTTCGGAGTATTTGAGTGTTCCCCCGACATTCAAATCCACATCTTTCAGCACTCCGCTCCATTCCTTCTCTTCATTCAGTTTCTCAAAGTAAGTTTGCCATCGCTCTTTTATATCTTCATCTTTAACCAACACTCTACTTTCTCCATCTTTCATACATCTCACGTGCCTTTTGACGTAGTCTTTTGCCCTGTTTTTGTAATACGGTAAAGTTCGTTTTGACCTCTAGGTTCATGTAGGTATTTATATCTCATCGGTTTCTTCGGTCTGACCTTTTTCCTCAGCCCAGTTTTCCGTATTTTTTTCTTTCGCTTGTAAATGGCAGTAGAATGTTCAAAACAAACTGAAGTGATTTATTGTAATTGACTAATCAGAATATTACTGTTTCGAATTACTCATATTAAGGTATTTCTGCATAAATTACTAAATTAACGTATACCTTTATTATAGAGGTATACAGTTAAGATCTCTAATGTGATGGTTACCATAATGAGCATTTGACCATTAGGTACCTAGAAGTCATTAGATAATATTCAACAATTTATTATGTTGTTTCAATTAAGATGTGATAAGAAAACAGGACGTCTTCTCGTTCACCCTTCTATAAAAAAAACTTTAAAAGAGCGTTTCCTAGAAAAAGGATTTGAATTTGTTTCTAACGTAAGTAACAGACTTACAGAAAATTCCAAACTTTTCTGTTGCAAATACCTTTGTCACTTATTTCAGCTCCTCATAAAGAGTATTCATTTATACTATTGTCTAGTGCACTGGCTATTGATCATGTTCCATTATAGTGTAAAAAAGGAGTAGGTTCTGAATTTGACCAAAATCGGTTTTGTCAATTGATTAATTATGTAGATAGATAGATAGATAAATACTTTATTTGTACACCAATGTTTTACAGACATTATACAGTAATTAACGACCGATGTAATGTACAAAGGGCGGCCTTATCGCTTAGTGCAATTTCTTCCAGGCAACCTTTGGATGGATTCATTTTGAAATGGTGATAGGTATACATAAATTAGAGAAGTAAATAAGGTCTTAACCTATAAAATATTTTTTATACATAAATACTACTAATCTATATTTATACATAAATACTATACATACATACGTTAATATATACATACGCTAATTTTCAACTATTAGAGACAGATAATGCTCATATAGCATAGTTTTGAAGGTGGTTACGGATTGCGCACGTCTGACAGTAACCGGCAAGGCATTCCATAAACGTACAGCTTCTACGGAAAATGAATTTGTGTAGAAATTGGTAGAATGCCTTGGTATTTCCAATCTCAGGCTTTCAGAGGACCTCAGACATTTCATATGTGTGTCATGAACGAACTTAAAGCGTTCTTTGAGGTAAATAGGAGTTAATGGATTAAACAGTATATTATACAGAAGCGTAAGGATATGAGTATTCCGGCGAAGGCGGATCGGAAGCCACCTGAGCTTTTTACGGTAGTGGGAAACATGATCATATTTGCGAAGTCTAAATATGAATCGTATAAAAAAATTTGGAGACGCTCAAGTTCATCAAGATGTGCTTCGGTGAGATCGAGATAGCTAACGTCGGCATAGTCAAGAATCGGAAGAAGGAGCGTTTGTGCAAGTGCAGTTTTAGTAGCAGTCGAAAGAAAGTTTCGTAACCTTCGCAAAGATCCCGCTGCCGCGAAGACTTTGCGGCTCACCTCCTGAATCTGAGGTCCCCATGATAAGCCCCCAAGTTTTTTACTTTGCTGCTGATCGGTATGATGGTATTGTTAAATTGAACCGGAGGCAAATGTAACCAATTAATTTTAGCAGACATTATGGGACTCCCAATGATGCATACCTGTGATTTTGTGGGATTAATTTTGAGTCCATAGTCGTTACTCCAAGCACTTATGTGCTCTAGATCTGCATTAATAATATTAAGCGCAGTCGATAACATACTGACAGGTGCATGGGTGTATATCTGTAAATCATCAGCATACAGGTGGTAGGATGAAAGTAAATTATTGGAAATAGAATTAATAAAAATTGCGAAGAGTAATGGAGATAGAACGCCACCCTGTGGGACACCGACAGTTGCATTACACCATGAAGAGAGGGAGTCTTCAAGTCGAATGCGGTGCTGACGCCCAAACAGGTAATTGTGAAACCAATCAATTGCCCCTGGAGATATGTTAAGAGAGCGAAGAATACCAAGGAGAATATGGAAATTGATGGTATTAAATGCGTTACTGAAGTCGAGTAAGGATAATACCGTTACGTTTCCACTATCCATATTTCCTCTAATATCATCTGTGATGTGGACTAATGCTGACACTGTACTGTATCCTGCACGGAAGCCAGACTGAAAGGGATTTAGGAGATTGTTACTTAACAGAAACTTGTTGAGTTGATTATAATTATAATATAAATAGCTGCTTTCCATGCAGATGGAAAGACGCCGTAGGATAAGAAATGGTTGAAAATGTTACATAGGACAGGAAGAATATCATCAAGGATGGGGACAATCATTTTTTTACTGAGGCAGTCGCTTCCCACCGCATTAGATGAGATTGAAAGTATGCTCTTCTTAACATCACAAGATGCCAATTGATTAAAAATGAAGGGAGAGTAGTTAGGAGTTTGAATAGATGAAAGATATTTTAAAGTTTTGGCTTTTGTTGTCTCATCAAACTCAGACGAGGAGGAGAAATGCTTGTTAAGTGAATCAAGATTTAAGTTTTTAGAAATAGGGTTTAGGTTCGATTTTCCAACTCCTAATGTTTTCAGAAATTTCCAGATCCTCATCGGATCGTTGTTTTCAACAGATTTATGGATGTGTTGGCGTTGCGCTTCTCTACACACCTCATTGCAGTGATTTCTTATAGTCACATATTTGTCGAAGTTAGTTTGTGTAGGTCGACGCTTGTATCTCGTCTTTGCCGCTACCTTTTTCGACATGATGGCTCGTATTTCATCATTAACATTACGAAGAGATGCATGAATATCAAATATATTGATTAAGTTTTCATTTAAAATGTTCACTTTTGTGTCAATACACTCAGAAGATAACAGAGGTTGCCAGTCGATGCTTCTAACATCTGCACATAGCTTTTCCCGATCCATGCTACCAAAACTGCGCAGCATGACAATTTTAGGTTTGGATTTAGGAGGTCGAAGAGCGTAGGACATGTATGTATTGTAAATTTAGAAAAACAATGTCGTATATCAAAAATAAATGTTTTTTATTTTCTTTTATATTTCTAATATGTGGTATGTAAATATGAAAATAATTAATCTTTAAAATATAATATTAATTACGAAAAAAATGTCCAAGGCAGTTCTGCATTTAATATAAACTTTAAAGATATTTTACTGAAATATTAAAAAAAAAAACATTTTGACGATTTTAGAGGCATTGCATGAAAAGCAATTAGGCACACGTTTGCTTTTTAATATTTTGTATTGTTCGTTGTATTTCTGTTATGTTAACGGTAACGTGGGGTTTTAAACGTATAACCACAACCCTTTGTGGCCATTTCATTGTTTTATTCAAACAGATAACGAAAACAATTGTAGGGCTTTTTTCTAAATGTTTACAAAACAATTAGTAAGCAAACAATAGAGCGAGCTGTACAAAGAACTCGAAGAAACAGAAGAAGAAGAATTTTGGCTACAAGTTTTTTTCTACGTACTTAGTTTTATGACTAAGTCGTACAATATTTTCCCTTGACAGTCTTAGGGAATTCTATCTCGGGCACGCCGTCATTGCGGCGGTAAGACCCGTTATGGAGGATTGGCTTCAGAGGTATCACGTGACCCTCTCATACTACTGACGCAGGTGATCACTGGGAAAGGATGTTTCGGGGATCACCTGTGTTTGATCCCCAAGGAGCCAACGCCTTAGTGCCACCACTGCGATCGAGCAAGTTATGTTTGCGAAGGAGATGGCGGAGCGGGACCGGGAGAGGTTTAGAACTCTCCCGACCCGCCAGGCTCGGGAACGGGCCAGGTACCGCAGGCGCCGGTGGTCGCAGAACGTCCTCTAATAGATGTCTCCATATTTTCTTGGGTACACCTCGTTCCCCGACTACTGGTAACTAAGACGGTACGTGGTAAGTAAATTATGTTTGTCTTCTTACTTTTGACTAACTTACATTTTTTTTAGTTTGTTACTAGTAACTTAACTCTCATGCAAAAATATAAGTAGTTTTCGAATATGTACTTATAAACTATATAACTATAACTTATAAATATTATAAAAGTTTGGAAGTTTATACTACCAAAGTAAATATTGAGTTGAAAAAGTTGGATTTTAACCATTTTTATAAATTTCTAATGATAATAATTAAACCTGAAAATAATATAAATACCTACAGATAGACTTCTTCTAAGAAAACCTAAAGTAGCTACTTCAGGAATCCTTGTTTTCTTTTCTTAACATTGTAATAATTAAACCAACTGAATACTTTCTGAATTTGTAAACATACAAAGTTAAATTACAAAACTATAATGATTGTTTGTAAGAAATAAAATACAGCGAGTAACAATTATTTTTGTAATATAGACAAAATATAAAATCCATAGTCAATTGAGTGTTAATAAGGGTTTCCCAAAATGTTTCTCTTCAAGTTTCTCATAAAATATGTATATGTATTGATAGTGCAAAAAAAAACATTTATACACTCAAACGTATGTTGCCCTTTAACCCTACGTTACCATTAAGATAAGAAAAAAATATAACAACACAAAATACTAATAAGCAAATGTGTGCCTATTTGCTTTTAAAATAATTTCTCTAAAATCGTCAAAACACTCAAACTTATGTTTTCACGCATTGCTGTTACGCCACACAAAAGTTATGTTTTACAGCACACAACACAAAGCGTGTAGGTTACGGCACGCTTATCGGGAACATAACGTGTGTGTTATTAGCACTGCTGTACGGAACACAACAGTTGTGTTTTATACGCACTGTCGACTATTCGCAATACTCCAGTCTGAAAACACACTCTACGTACATTCGTTAGAAGTTTAAGGTTATATGTTATGTAGTATAAGCAGCAGTGAAGGTGTATGTCGCATAGTCGGCATCTTAAAAAATGGTAGATCACTCAGAATCTAAAAGCATGTCTATTCCTGACATTGCTGAATCAGAACTAACTTTCGTCACTTGTGTGTGATAGTACTACAATCACGTGATTGTGAAACTTCACATTTTTGTTAGTTCCATTAACTGCATTTCGTTGCAGTTGTGTTGTTAAACAGTTATCCACACGTAAATACTATTTTTTGAGTAATTAGACGTAGTCTCCCTTCTAAATTTGTATGTTATTGGTATTGGTTAAGGTACCTTTGAATGTGATGGGATGATTAATGACCCTTTAGAGGTCTTTGCAGTTTTGAGAATCGATTTCTAGCTGAGGCGAGATGACCGCCTTAGTCGATTAGATCATCCAGGCCGCGTTCATTCTTCGGTGACCCGTCATTGTAGTGTACTTATGACGTAGTTAGTGCACGATTAGTCAGTGCCGTGTGTTTGAGTAAAGAGCGTTTTAATGGGCTTGTCCTGGTGGTCGGCTGTCAAGAAAGCTCTGATGGCCGTTGAGATCACGTGAAAAGCGAGTGGTTCGCTGCCACCGTTGGCTTACGCGAGGCGTTCGATAGTATAGAGATATTACAACACGAGACAAGCGGCGACCTTGAGCATGCAGTTGTAGAAGTTTACTGACTCATTCTAAGCTTGGGTGCACAATGAATGGGAGTTCGATAAGCACAACCAATAGCAATGTCTTTAATTAAATTTAAACTTTGAATAACGACTCCTTCAGTATGCAACGTGTGAACACATGATTCACCCATAAATATAATTTTTCCTTCAGCCTCCCGAGTTTTCTTAATCTCCTTCATTTCATTCCTTTTAAGCGGATTTCATGTTTTTTCATCAAAACTTGTCTGCTATTTTCCGATCGTCGTAATGAAAACCTACTGTACCTGTTTACTTATTCATCAACAGACTTTAGAAGTCCATTGACTGGACATAGGCCAAATTTGGCCTACTATCCTACGGTGGCCAGACGGTTTGGTATTAGGTTTGTTGCAAGTTTTTCTTCTCCTTAGAGTGCTGTTGTCCTGCTTAGTACGCTCCCTTAGTCGGCTCACTGACAGTGCTTTAGAGGCTAGTATAAGTACTTATGTAGGTTGGTGTATCACGATTTATTGAGTATTTATGTAACCAATCCGAATGATATGTGCATCTACGTGATATAAGTAATATGTCACAACTTTTTATAGTTTTCTAAATGAATTTACAATTACACACAACAATTAATAATTCAGCTCCATTAAGCGTAACGCATATTTGGGAATATTTTCTAACGCTCGCGTTGTTTGCCAGGGTATCCGTGTTAGAAGGGCGTACAAGCCGGTCGATGTGTGCAAGAGTAAAGCACGTGCGACTGCGGCCACTCATGGGCGCTCCCTCCTCCAGGCTGCTGCCGCACACAAGAGCTTGTTAAATGTAAGTGGCTTGTTCTACTTTGAAATAAATTACTTCTCAAAATCAAAAGACATTTATTCAAATGGGTATGATGACTAAATAAGTGTACATATTTTCAATGGTCTAATAAATAATATTTGTTCCTGAAATAGTAGATCTGTCACCAAATAATATCAAAGCGGTAACTTAAATATTAATTAGGAATTAGTTTGAAAGAATATCAGGCACCAAATAATTGTTTTGTATTTCAAAAAAATAGAAGTTTCACCAACATTGAATTTCCAAACAATTTACTTAAGAAGTATACTTAAAAATTATTTTTTATCCTTGGAAAATATCAAGAATTAAAAAAAACTAAACAGTCGTCTTTTTTAATAATTGATCCTCTGTCTCTGTTACATAACGAAGAAATCTGCCAGAGAACAAATCGACAGAAAATGTAGTTACCTATTCAAATTACATTGAGTACCAGCTTTCTGAACGTCATTGCTTACATATAGACAGTCCTTCCTAGTGCTTTAGCTGAGAAGAAGAAGCAGTGGAACTAACTCCTCAGCGATAAATCTGTCTTAAAAAGTTAATCACTGCTCTGATATTACCATTTAAGAAAAAACTGATTTGGTTAAATAAATTAAAATTTATTGTGATGTGTCCTGTATTTTACAAAAACAATAGTAAAGGACTCCTGTTGTGTGTAGTAATTGTAAATGAATGTAGTAAAAACCAAAAAAAAACGAGTTAGTTTAATACCACTTCCATTTATTTTTTGCTTCAATCACTTCATAGTATTCACATGTTTGTTACGGATTAGTTTTGGTATTCGCTAAAAAATAAATACCAAAACTAATCCAAATTTCTTTAACAGCACTACATGGTTACATGCAATCGCATTTCTATTTTCAGACGCCTGGTACAGACGCGGCTAAAGACTCGCAAGCGAAGCGCGCTATTGTGCTACCGATGCGACGATCAGTCGAACCTCAAAGAATTACCATCTAAGTAGCTGCTGACAACTTGCAAAAGACTGGTAACAGCATTAATCTTGGAATAGTTTTGAGCAGTTGTGATGATAAAAGTGAAAAGTAAGTACTATTATTCTATTTCAATGGTATTGAATGGGCGGCGTGCCACTCTTGAGTTGTAGGTGTCTAGGGGCGGTAGTCACTTACTGTCAGCTCATTTTCCTTCTATACCATAAAACGAAAATATAGTTATGTTCTTCAAAAATATGTGCAAACTTAAAAATTGAGTTAAATTTAGCAGAGCTTATAACTCATTTAACAAACTGCAACAAGTAAGTAATAAAAGGAGGTACTCGCTACCTAGTGAAAAAATACATTGGAAGTACTTAACGATGGAGTTATTTGTTTGTTTGTTTCGTATTCTATCGAAATAGTCATCTAAACGTAATTGGGTCAGTACACCGATCTACGTCTACACGTTTTGAATGTTTGGTATACACAATTATAACCATATATATATATATACCTATGTATACTACATTGCACGTATACTACCTCGCCGCTTCATACTGCGCTAAGTGTTGTGGGTTCGACCCCCACATTGGACATCACTTTGTGTGATCCGCAAATTATTGTCCTCACTCTGGGTATTCTTTAATGGCCTGCTAAAGTCCAAGCTATTATTGGATGAAGAAATAGCTTTTATGATTTTAGTAAACAGAAGAATATCAGTAGTAACTGGATCTCGTTTATCGTTGAATGAAATTTCAGTCAATAATATTCAGTACAAATAATAAAGAATAAATATGCTTTGTTTGTAGATCTTTCATAGCTGTATTTTAAAATTGACATACAATAGTTACAATTCTTTCCTTATAAGATCCTTTTTTGTTTTTAATATAGTGCTCACCAAGAACCCTTAATTAGATAGCAACATTTTTAGTTTAAAAACCCCCTTATACATTTGTCGCGATATATTAAAAACCATATAATATAACCATAAAATTATAGCTATTACATGAATTCATTTTGCCTCTGATTGGTTAATTTTAAAAGTATCACAACGATAAAATGGTTAGTTATGTCCACGATTTACAAAAAATATTACAGATGCAATCTCACATAACTTTTTTCTCAAATTACCTCTTGTTTTCTACGGGATATTTTTTACCCCATCAACCGATTTTTTGTTACTTGGTCGTTCAAACCACTGCCAAATTGCTATGCAAATTGTATAACGGTGTTCTAACAATATTTTTGTTTTAATAGTATTTGCAGAAACATCCACAACACCTCGGACTCCAAGGACAAAAATAATCAACTGATAGTCACTATGGGTGGCTACCATCCAAATGCATTTCTAGCTAATAAATTACAGATTGAGGGCCTATGAAATGATGAAGATGAAATTAGCAAGACTGGTCATGAAAAAATAATCCCACCTGAAAGTAAAGAGCTCAAACCTGAGGAGAAAGAACCCGTTAAAGCCACAGAGAAAGTTCTAGACAATCAGGTGCAACACTTAAGTAATACAAGCGAAGAGAGTGAATCACAAGTTATAATTAAACAGGAAGTTGAGAAAAAGACAACAGAAAAAGTTTTGAAGTGTTAGATCCGCCGGTTGTGAAGAAAAGAAAGAGATCACCGATAGTATGCGATGTTGAAAAGGAAGTGAAAGAGACAGATAGAGTTAGAGAAAGAACAGTCACAAATACCCACAAATATGATTCTATACCATTTTGTAAGTATCTAAAAAGTCTCATATCTTAACCAGCCGCATATAATTTTAAGATTACAGGTAGTTTAAAATTAACTTTTAAACCTCTATTTAATGTAACCAATTTAGAAAAATCTTCAATAGAATTATTGATTAGTTCACAAACGAAGATTTCTTGAAACATGTGTATCGTTTAACACATTTCTTGTTGATTTTGTTAATATATTTTTTTACTTGATAAGAAACTCTTTCATGTATTAGTAAGGGATAACACTACGGATACTGAGCCGAGCGAAGTGTACTAATGAAATGTTATTCGTGGCAGTGTCAGCGGCGCAGCGCAAGCTGGTGTGGTGTCGTCTGATCGCCGCGTGCCGTTGCGGTGCATGCAGGCAGCGTTCCTCGCTGCCTGCATGCACCGCAACTTCATGTACTCGCACTCGCCCTCTGCACCCGTGTTGACGCATTCGTCTTATATTGCAACTTCACACGTAGTCCCAGCGGCAAAATTCAAGTCAAAATCAGCTATGGTACAAAACATGTGCAAGTTACACCTGAACTGCTTGAACCCAGCGTGTCACTCCTACCACCCGAAGCCGTGTCGTTACGGCAACAATTGCGCTAACGAACTAGAATGTAACTTGGACATACACTGTTTAATTATTAATATAAATTATATTTAAAATATTACAATTTCGTGGAATTTCAAACAACATTCTCCAGGAAATATTTTAAAATATTTTATTCGAACTTCGAACTATCGTGTTAAGGGTAATACTAATTCGTCTAGTTGTTAAGAAGGTTAACAAGGCATGGGCAAACAACAGCAAAATAGAAAATAGTAAAACATTAATAAAAGTTTTCATAATTTAATTATTCTTATTTCAACACTTATTAAACACAACTCCTTCCATAAACGTTCGACGAATCAAGAATAAAAGTGAAATAAATAGTGAAATAATTAGTTTAATTATTCTTTACTTTAAATAATTAAGGTTTTAATTGATCTTATAAATAATTTGTATGTAATAAACTTCCTAGAGAAACTGATTTACGATTTCTCTACAACCTCGTCTTACTAAAGCCTTACTAAAGAATAAACACATATTAACGTAATGTTTACAATTATATAGCTACACATATTACAATTATTTTAATATTTAATGTGTTAATAGGTTCTCTGAAAACATACATACCGTGGCTGTTGAGATATAAAAAGTGCCTATAATAATGTTTCGGTCAACGCGTTAATTAGAGTTTTGAACGAAATTAAAGTAGGCGCTAAAATTTGTAATTTCTTTAGTGAGAAGCATGTAAAAATAAAAAATTATGACGTATGAATGGGCTGTCTCAGGGTGACCCTATCTCACCTTTATGATTAAACATAGAAACATATAAGATGTGTACTGTTGACGATTATAATTTATCGATGTACCCATGCATAAAATACTTGGGTATGTGGTTAGACCAATGTCTTAATTGGAATAAACACATAAATAAAATAGTTGAAAAATCGTCTCAATTGGTAAAAGTTGTAGTTGGCCCTACGTGGAGTGTACATCAGATACATGTGAGGAGATTATACATATCCTGGATTCTAAGTCGCATGCATTCATTAAGGTCTTTATGGTCCTAGGTTATTATTAGTTATAGGATATTAGATCATTACTTCCAACCCTCATAATTTGTTTACTCAAAACCCCATAAACAATAGATGTTCTTTTAATATTATATATAGAGATGTATATTATTATAGATATTTTTTAAATTTTACTGATGATAACGGTTCAACATTAATTGTGAAATGACTAGAATCTGCAAAACGCTTTTCAGTAAAATATGTGTTACAGGGTTAGTTTTTCGCGTGGGGTTTTATTAATATCGTAACGTGTTACAATTCGTTATTTGAAATAAATTACCTTGTGACACTGATCTGATCTTCTAGAATCTTAATAAAAGATAATCATTGAGGCGGAGGTTTTATAATAAGCTACCAGTGCACTATGTCTGAGTCCAATCAAGGGATGCGTACCCATTCACACAGAACATTTAGCTTTAGTTAGCATCCAACTTATCAGCAAGTCGACTCCTTAGTGCATTATGTACTGTGCAGGGTGTTTTCACCACTGGCTTTAATAGTTTAATATTTGATCGATATAAAAAATCGAATTGATAATAAAGTCTTAACTGTTATCAGTGACAATCAATTTACACCATATTATTATTGTTATTAGTCAACTATTTTAAAGCCAATAATGTACCCAGCCCTTATAATGTTTTTTTTTTATTTTACACTTGCTTTATTTTATTACATGACTACACGTTTACTACTACGCCGATCCCCACATGGGACGGCACTTTGTGCGATCCACAAATTGTTGTTCTGAGTAAGGGTGTTCTTTGTGTCCGTTTCATGTATGTTTTCAAAGTACCCCGGTACAGGGGAAATATTGCAAATGTGGGCGTTGTCTTTAAAAAAAACTATACAAATACATTACCCAGTATGATGTAGTAGACCTAAGATAGAAATATTTCTTAGCGTTCCATCACACGATAGATGGGGGCAACACATACGACTTCGACAGTGCTTGGGAATTGTGACCCAGGAGTAGGTTTAGGGAGTCCTCCTTGCGGCGCGTCAGCGTGCACCTCTACTGTCTGCTCTGCTAACCCCTCTACCTAACCATATTTGGTACGAGCCTAGCAATGCCGCTTTGGATATTCGTTCAAAAAAGAAGCCTAATGAAGCTCTTGGCAATTCAAGATCTTTAAGTAGGTGGGTGTCGTAAGAGCCGACTAAGGAGCAAACTACGCAGGAAAACAGCACTGCGATGAGAAGGAAAATTTGAATCAAACCCTATACTAACTCGTCTGGCCAGAGTGGGACAGTAGGCCAAAACCTCTTTTGTAAGGAAAGGCCTATGTCCAGCAATTGACATTTAAAGAGTGTTGATGATGATGATTGATGAAGTAGGTTATAGAAGGATTTAGCTGGTATACCCATCGCACCCATTTCCACGGCATACAACGCAACTAAATAATCATTTTTAGTTATTTCGTTGGTTAAGTCAGAGTACTTGTTTCTTTTTAAAGCGTGGTCTTTAAGGATGTTCGTTTCCCACGGTACCGTGAGTTCTACTAGTACTACACGCTTAATTGACATTGCATGAAGAAATATGTCTGAGCTGGACGCCAAGGCACAGATATCCGCCGGTATTCTGTAATGATTTTCGTACGTGTCCACTAATAATGTCCAGTCTCTGGCGGTATTCATAATTGAGTACGGCTTTTATGAAGTCTTTTCTGTTGAGCCTTCCTTTATAAACTCGATGTTAATTCTTATGTTTGTTGTTATTCCTTATTTGTAATACCTTATCATCGAGACGTGAATATCCCCGGTCTCATAGCGCCTTACAACCTGTTAGTGAGTGCCTGGTTTTACCTTTTACCGCACTGCACATCGTACAATCCTTTTCAGTAGCTTTTCTCCGGATTACTAAATAGCTTTGATCGAGGAGAGTTAATTGAAAGGCGTTGAGGTAAAATTTTAATAAGGCAAGTGACCAATCATATAATAGTGTGCGCTACTTCAAAGCTGGTGGGATACAAAATTCACTTAGAGTTAACCATTCATTCTGCATTTTTAGGTTTATTGCGTGCTCCTTGTTGGTCTCGTTTTCATCTTTTTTTAGGAAAATTTGGTTATCTCTTTATCCATCTGTCTTCTAGCATTTTACAATCCAACTCTACTGGACTGCATGCCCACCATAAGTTTCTTGTGAAATTGGAGCCGTGATTCGAGCTCTGATGAATTTTAGTCTTTTGGAAGGGATCTAACGATTTCATCTTGTATTGTTGAATAGGCATGCATTTTGGTAAGTCTTAGGTGTTTATAGAGTTTCGAAGGTCCAAAGTTAATTCCAAAGTTATTCGAGTCCCTGTACAAAATGGACGGGTCTGTAGATGATGGTAGCTCGAGCCACGACTTCAATGTCTTAGTAACTTTCGCATAAAGTGTTCTTAAGTGGTTCTGGTTTATATCGTATACCAGAATTGGCCAGTTGAGACGTGATGTTAAGTAGTCGTTGTAAATACAAGCTTTTTTTTACGTTACTTATTTTCTGGTCTATCTTGTTATTGTATTTTACGAAGTCATCGACTATTGCGTTCATAGTTGAGGTACGATCTTTGTTGTCTATTTTTCTTAGAATTTAAAGGGCACGATTTCTGATATTGTCGAAACACTTACCTTACTAATAGTAATCCCGGGGTCATATGAGGTATATCTGGTACCTCGCTGGCACAGACCAAGGCAATAATATTAGCTACTGGAACAACCCTTTTTTTCTAGGGGTTTTGTATGTCCATATTTTACTGTGATTACAAATTTTAGTTTACTATGATATGGTGCAACTGTTTCACAAACTCTTGGTAAAAAGTGACACCATTTCAAGGCAAATAAGATAAGCTCGTGTCGTACTGAGCCAAAGGCGTCTTGTAAAACTATCCAACAGATTGGTATTTGCCTTTGATTTTTCCTAGCATCTTTGAGACTTTCGGCAAGTAATGAGTTATGTTCCAGAAATCCAGAGGTTCCGGGCATGTACTCCTTTCGTAAATAATTATTATTTGACATAAACTCTATTATTTTTAATAGAAGACAGGAGAAAATATTTTTTTAGGAGTGAGGACAAAATTAGCTTTTCTAAAGGCAGTTGATTTTTTTTTGCTCGACCAGAATTTGCAAAACATAATTAGGAAGTTTTTACACATTGATGACACACATTTTTTATATATTACATATATATGGTATACCATCAGGCCCTGGAGCTGATTTTTAGGAACCATTAAACTATGTCGGGTGTTGACATTCAACTGAGCATTATTTATATAGACTCCCAACGTCACAAGGGCAACAAAATTTAACCTCTAAAAATTTTATTAAAGTTTTTGTCTCAAACAATTTTATTTTATTCTCGTCATCGACAATCTCTTTGAGATCTTTTATAGCAATAACTTTAACAACTCAGACCATTCTTTTTTGTTAAGATCAAAAGGGCAAACTAATCATAAATTATGTACACTGTTGTTAACATCTTCTAAATTTAAATTATGCACATTTTTATTAGCCCCTACACTGTAATTTTTATTTTATTACATTTGTGATATAATTTAATATGCCGGATAATTTCTGCAACCATCTTCCTGTTTAAATTTTTTACCCAAATAAAAATTTTATATTATGGATGTTTTCTTTTAGAATAATTAGCTTTATGCAATGTCGTATTTCGAATGTTTTGTTATTCACTGAAAATAGTGTCATTATTTAATTTTCACACGACAAAACTATAAAATCCGTTAGTTTCACATATATGTATATATATATATGCATATATATATCACATCACATCACATCATCAGCCTTTAATAGTCCACTGCTGGACATAGGCCTCTCCTTAGAAAGGAGGTTTTGGCCTACTACACCACGCTGGCCAGACGGGTTGGTATAGGGTTTGTGTCAAGTTTTCCTTCTTTTTGCAGTGCTGGTGTCCTGCGTTGTTTTGTGCCCATAGTCGGCTCTTACGACACCCACGGGATGAATTGGGGTAGTGACATTCCGTATTCTTAATCCGTCACTACACGGACACATATATATATATATATATATATATATATATATAAAGGATGTAAGGGAGGTCGTAACGAATACTGAAATAGTGTATTCACCATCCATCCCATCATACTGAGTCGAAAATCATTGGAATTTACTGCCGCAAAATTCATTTTTTTATTTAAATTTTCCATGTTAATGATATCACGATGAGTAAAAAAACTTTTTACAAAATTTAGAGATTTCTAATAATATTTTCTGATGCCTTCCATTCTACCAATGAATAGCGTTTATCAACTGTACTCAAATGTACTATAATTTTTAGACAGTGGCACGGTGAAACTGACAAGTTTGTAATTTTTATTTTGATTAGAACTTTATTATTTTTATTTTTTATAAACTTAAAATGACAGTATGACAAAATGTGAAGACATTACTTACTATTTTTCAGTGAACAATTTCCGTTTCTAAGCGGGGAAATTTTACGAAGCAAAATGACATTACATGACAGGACAAATGACAGGCGAAATTCGCCGCCGTAAGCAAAGCCAAAAATATATATTTGGTTTCTTTTTTTTACAAGTACAACTATATGCAAATGTATTTTTAGAAATCCCTAAAAAAAATGAGCTCTATTTTTAATGTAACTTTTACAGGAATTTGGTGGTGGCATTGTATAGTAATTAATGGGACACTTTTTTTAAATTCCTTTTTGCTATAAAGCTCGATTGTTTCCCATGTTTACGGATGCCTAATCTTTATTTAGTAGTACTGCTATTATTTACTTATTCACCAATAGACTTTAGAAGTCCATTGAATAGTCATAGGCCAAATTTGTCCTACCTATCCTATGCTACGGTGGTCAGACGGTTTGATATAGACCTTGTTTCAAGTTGCCCTTCTGTTAACAGTGCTGTTGTCCTGCGTAGTTTGCTTCCTCAGTCGGCTCTTACGACACTCACGGGATAAATAGAGATGGTGGCACTCCATATTCCTAATCCGCTACACACGGATACATTATTGAGACTTATTAAAGCGTTCAAGAATGACAGATAATCTTAGTATAATTAATAGCTGTCTTTAATAATAATAATAATATATAATAATATATTCTACCACATACACACAACGCCATCTGGTCCCAAACTAAGCAGAGCTTGTACTATGGGTACTAGACAACTGATATAAATACATATATACTTTTTTTTTGTAAATACATACATATTATACATAGAAACACCCAGACCAAATCAAATATCAAATGTTCATGCACACAAATGTTTGACCTGAGCGGGAATCGAACCCGCGACCTTTGTAATAGCAGTCCGTTACACAAACCACTACACCATCCAGTCGTCAAACATAACATCTTTAACCATACACTGATAGTGCTTCACAGTCTAGTAATAGGTGCATCATGTAGGTTTGAGTATCATGATAGGTAATGACACTTGTCAGGTTGTTTAATGGATTTTACGTAACCAATCCGATGGGTATGTGCAGTCCCGTGCAATAAGTTACGTTTCAATTTTTTTATAGTTTTCTAAATGAATTTACATTAACACACAATAATTATTTGGCTTCAGCGTAACACATATTATTGTGCGTTTGTTAAATTCCAAGTTGGCATGAATATTTTTGTTAATTGCTTTTCGTATAAAACTGCAACTGTTGTAAATGTATAGTTATAATAATATGATCGTCATTAACTTTGTGTTCATTGTAATTTTTGATGCTTTTTGTGCCATTATGATAATTAAATAAAGTTTTAATGTTTTTGTTTTGTAGTATTTGTAGTTCAGCTATTCTTGTTTTGGCTGCACTCCCTCAGATTTCAATTAAGTAAAATAAGCGTGGTTTTACAAGTAAATTGTATAGCGTAGTTTACGTGGTATACATCGAACAATATGACGAAGGGAGACGCAGAGTTTCACTAATTTCGTTTTAATGAAATCAATATGGGTTTTCCATATTAAGTGGGTGTCCATATGTAGACCGAGATATGTTTCATGGTGTTTTTGTTGCAATGGGATATTATTTATAGTGAGTGGTGTGTGCGTAGACAGTGGTTTGTTTCTGTTTTAAAAACAATATAACAAGTCTTAACAATATTTATAGTTCAAAGGTTATATTGTAGCCAATCATAGATAATGTCTAGATCTTGTAGAGCACCCGAAACTATATTTTTAATTGACGAACTGAAGTAAAAACAAACATTTACCGTCCGCATATAGAATATGTGTTCGTTTAAACCTAATTCGTTCATGTTGTTTATGTAGACCAAAAGGGGCAAGGGGCCTAAAATTAATCCTTGCGACAAGTTATTGGAAGTGGGTCACTTTGGGTATTATTGTCTATTTTGAGACTGTCGTCCCCAAGCGTGACAACTCGAGATTGAACACCCACATTAATATTTTACATCCATGTTACAGTTCATTAAATTTCTGGTTCAATCAAATATATTCTTGTTTATACAGTTATCAGCTTCAACGTTGCTTTTGTATAGTTCCTTATAAAACAGCCCTTAGCCCCCATTCTACGGTATACTTTTTAACCTCACTGCCTGATTTTTGTTACTTGGTTCTTCAAACGCAAAATACTGACATTGCTATGCAAATTGTATAAAGGTATTCTAACATTGTTTTTATATTAATATTATTTTTAGAAATGCCCACAACACCTCAGACTTCAAGGACAAAAACACTCAATTAATAGTCACTATAGATGGATGGAAGATGAGAAAAATGAGAAGAAAAAAGGTGTTGAAGTAAGAGATTCGGTGGTGACAGAGCAGTGATAGCCATGACGATGCAGCCAGCAGTGACGGTTAACCCAGACACAAATACCCACAAATATGATTCTGTACCATCTTTTAAGTATCCTGAAGTTCTCATATCTTAGCCAGATGCTTATCGGTTTTAGATTACATGTAGTTTATAAAACCTCTGTTTACTGTAACCAATAAAAAAATCTTTATTAGAGTTATTGATCAGTTCACAAACGAAGTTATCTTGCAACATGTGTCGTGTGTATCGTTTCATATATTTCTTAATGATTTTGTCAATATTTTTTTCAATTTATAAGTAACATGTTCATCTACTAGTAAAGGATAATACTACGGATACTTTTTTTTTTTTTTTTTTACGGGGGGAAATCCTCATGGACTACCTCCGCCTGGGGAAAGGCGGAGGGGCGTGCCGGACTCTTACCGGCTAAAACCACCCCGGTGTCCCCTCACCCCTCGCGGGGCCGCGGGAATCCAAATTCTTCGGCAGCCCCACACTAGTGCTAGCCCGGTCTGTCCGGGCCTCGTCTCCTGCACGGGGTAGTGAGGTGTTTAACTACCCCGGGCATCGCCTCAGAGGCGCGCGCCGACACCCGCGCGCGCCTCCGCCTCGGGTCCATCGAATAGGGGGCGGGGACTTCCCCAAGTCTCTCGCCCCTGGACCCATTCATGGGGGCCGGAAAAGGGTGTTGTCCGCCCTTCTCCTGCGCCCGGTGCGCCTTCTGCGGCCGGGGAAAGGAGTCGAGGTCTCCCTCTCCCGTTCCGCAGTTTCCTTCTGCGACATCACGTCCTCGCAGAAGGACACCACCGCGTCCCACGACTCTGCGCTACCGACCATCCTCCGCACTACGGCAGCGACAGATCGCCTCCTACTTCATTTGTGAGGACACGGCGCTGCTCCTCCGAAGCTACACACACGGCGAGCGTGTGTTGCGCCGTGTCCTCCCCGCAATTGACGCAGTGGTGGCACCGAGCGTCCGGCTCCCTGTCTATGCGGCACAGGTACTTGCCGAAGCAGCCGTTCCCCATCAGCACCTGCGTCACCCTAAACGACAGGGAGCCGTGCCTTCTCCTGAGCCAGTCGTCGAGTACTGGCGTAGCGAGGCCGGCGGTAGGGCGCAGAAGCCTTTGCCGTCATTCCGCCACCAAGACCTGACGGAGCTCCTCTCGGCGCAGCGCGATCTACCGCTGCACCGGCCTCGGGCCACGTGCCCGCTCTTCCTCGCGCCATCGGTATAAAGACGCGAGTACTTTCGCCTCCAGGTCCCAGGGCGGGGGTCCGGCCAAGACGCAAGCCGCCTCCTAGGAAATCGTGCGATACCCGCGGACGACTCTGACGGCCATCGCCCTCTGCGGTTTGCGCAGAATGGCGAGAGTGCTAGCCGTCATGTCCAACGCTTACACAGGGGACCGCACGATTCCCACGTACAACCGCCTACAGGCGGCACTTGGGCCCCCCAAGTTGGGAAGCAACGTTGAAAGCGCGCCCGCTGCACCCATCAGCTTGGGCGCCAGTCGCCGGAAGTGGGGACCGAATTCCCATCGGCTGTCAAGCACCAATCCCAGATACTTCATGGTGGACTCGACAGCTATCCGGGCCCCGCTGACCACGATGTGTGATCCCGGCGCTGGTAATACTACGGATACTGAGTCGACCGGAGTGTACTAATGAAATGTTATTCGTGGTAGTGCGGTGCGACCGACGTGCCCAGTACCGGTTAGAACTCACTACTTACATTTTAATATTATTGAATAAGTACTGAATGAAGAAATAAAATCATGTTGTAGAGCCCGGACACATGGCTCTCAATAGCTTATACGTCTCTACCTAACCCTTTCAGGAATACAGGCTTCAGTTTATGCATAAAACTAATTCAATTTCTTTCAACTCTACGGTCGTAGATCTGGGCATACATTTTCATACGTCCGAAATTCCAATAGTTAAAATAGTACACCGGGTCAAGGTGGTGTGACATAGAGTATGAGTGTGAGTGGTGGTCTGAGTTTGATTTCCTCATAAGCTATTAGATATCACTACCGTAACAACCGTAATATAAATCTTTTATTTATTACAAAACAGGGTTTTACGTAGTTCCAGCAGCCAGCCAGCAGTTCTTACGTGGTACCAAAAATGTGCAAACACAAAAGAAAATAGAAAATAGTAAAAAAATAAAAAAGTATTCATTCGTAAGGTTCGTATTTCAACACTCATTTAACACAACTTCTGCAATAAACATTCGACAAATCCTGAATAAAATGCTGAAATAATTCGTTTAATTATTCTTTACTTAAAATAATTAAGGTTTAAATTGATCTTATAAATAACTTGTATGTAATAAACTTCCTAGACAAACTGATGATTTATGATTTTTCTACGACCTCGTTTTACTAAAAGAATATTTTACACATATTAGCATAATGTTTACAATTACAATTATTTTAATATTTAAGTGTTTTATCGGATCATACATTGTGGTAGTAGTATTTAGTGGAAGTAATCAAAATGTTCGCCGCTTGTTTCGCTCCACGATGTTGAAATTTCATGAACTGCTTTTATTTTATTTATTTAATGCTTTATGCTCAAAAATGTACAAAGGTGTACTTAATGCCAATGCATTCTCTGCCAGTCTACCTTAATAGTTAGGCTCAATTTGAACAAAATTATACCAATATAAAAAACCACCACCACCACCAATAATAAGAATTAGATAATTGCCAATTGCAAACTAGCAATTTTCATATTGCCAATTTCTCAAACAATTGCATTATGCTAGATATACTTGATCAAGTCACTAACCGTTATCCTCCACTGAGATTGCTCCATAGCGTACCTATCATAATTTTAATGACAGCTGTCACCTTGTTTATCTGTTAATGACCAATGGACTAGGTATGTGTTAACGGTATTCAATTTGATTGTTGTTGTTTAAATTTCACGAATTTCTAAATCTAAATAAAGTTTAGGTTTTTCGTTAGTAATTGTGTGACGAGTTTAAAAAGTCTTCTTTCTGAAGTAACCCTAAAGTTATACCCTAATATACTAAGCTTATGGAATTAACTCACAAATAACACTACTCCTAGCTATTTTTGACATATTTACACACTCGTTTAAGCCTACTTAAATGATGAATAAATATTTTTTTCTACTCAACTGTCTATTTATGTGGTCATTTCGGTAAGTACTTTATTTAACGGCAAAAGTTTCTCTGTAGGCTAATACTATTACGGATTATATGCTGTAGTTAAACATTTTAGTTTTGACTTACGAGTTCATTGGAGAATGTGCTACAATTTAAAAAGATTATGGCACATCATCGCGCGTAGGCTAATAAGGTACCATCAGAATATAATAGCAGGGAGATCAAATTCTCTGCAAGGTTGAGTGCGCGAGATCAATTGGCTAAAATTGAGCACTGACAATTTTCGAGGGGTTTCCTTATTACACCGCTAGTTACCTTCTATATACATTTAATAACTTAATGTATATAAGTACCTACATAATCAAACTTGTTCTGTGTTTACTTCTTCGGGCACAGAGTGTACGAAGCGTCCGGTAAAGTCAATATGGAAGTAGGACTTTAAGTGGATATCTATTAAACTTGAATACGTTCACGCACGTTTTAATAGTTTAAGGCACTATGGCTAAGAACTATGTTTCTACTATATATTTTTAGTTCTTGAACGGACCTTAGAAAACGAAGTTCTCCATTTGACTTTTACGCACACTTAGATATATGTAAAGGGTGTCTCGGTAAGAGTGCACTTTTTCATTTTAAAATAAAAACACGGCTTTTATGAAGAGTTGTGATATTTTTATTGGTTGTAAAGAAAACACTGTCCGATTAAGTATGGAATAAAATATCCGGCAAATGGCCCCCACGGCTCTGATGACAGGCTATTACTATTATTATTATTCATAAAATTTTCCATGACTTTTACACAAGAGATGTAGCTGTATTTCACCGATGACGCGTTGGATCTCTGATTTGAGCTCAGGAATTGTTTCTGGTTTATTTACATAAACCCGAGATTTCACAAAACCCCAAAGAAAGAAATCCAGTTGACAGAAGGCCAGTTGACATCAGAATTTCGTGAGATAATGTGTTCTGGAAATCGTTGCTGCAATAAGTTGATTGATTCATGCGCGGTGTGGCATATGGCGCCGTCCTGTTGAAACTACATGTTGTCCAGATCCATGCCGTCCAGTTGAGGCCACAAGAACTCCGTTATCATATTCCTGTAACGAATGCCGTTCACAGTCACTGCAATTTCGGCTTCATCTTCAAAAAAGTAATCCAATCACCCCGCCTGACCAAAATCCGCAACAGACAGTTGCTCGTTGTGGGTACATTTGTTTCTAATGGATTGCATGAGGATTTTCTGAGCCTCAAATTCGACAATTTTGTGTATTTACTTAGCCATTCAGGTGGAAATGCTCATCATCGGAGAAGATGATTTTTTTCGAAAAATTGGCATTGACTTCACTTTGCTCCATTACCTATTAAACGAATTGCCGGCACTCCTGAATTAGCTGAATCTTGTACCCATGAAGGTTGAAGGTTGTCAAAATTCCCTGCGTAGTACTTCGTGAAATTTGAAGATGTTGAGAACAATGCCGAATTGATGTTTTCGAGTTTTCGGCGACACTCTGCGGCTTACAGCAGCAATGTTTTCAAGAGACCGACCGGTACGTTGACGCAAAGTATTCTTAATACCCATAATCGACCTAGTTGCCTCAAATTTTTTGACCACTCTTCGAATGATTGAAAGAACATTAGGTGCACTTTTTCGACTGAAAATTTGGCGAAGTTTGCGAGCGGTTTCAGCATAACTTTCCCCATTTTTGTAATGAGTTTTCACAATTATAACACGTTTTTCTTTCGAAAAGCGCTCCATTTTTAATAATCGGAATAAACGGGAGGTGACAGCTGTCAAATTTCAGAGTTGCCACTTGCACGAAAAAAAATGATTCTAAAGAACAATGGCAGAAACATATTTACCTAAAACTTAAG